AGTGTTGGGTTAAGGTGGGACTCACTAGTCAAACATTGTATGTGTTGGGTTAAGGTGGGACACACTAGTCAAATATTGAAAGTGTTGGGTTAAGGTGGGACTCACTAGTCAAACATTGTATGTGTTGGGTTAAGGTGGGACACACTAGTCAAATATTGAAAGTGTTGGGTTAAGGTGGGACTCACTAGTCAAACATTGTATGTGTTGGGTTAAGGTGGGACACACTAGTCAAATATTGTATGTGTTGGGTTAAGGTGGGACTCACTAGTCAAACATTGTATGTGTTGGGTTAAGGTGGGACACACTAGTCAAATATTGAAAGTGTTGGGTTAAGGTGGGACTCACTAGTCAAACATTGTATGTGTTGGGTTAAGGTGGGACACACTAGTCAAATATTGTATGTGTTGGGTTAAGGTGGGACTCACTAGCCAAACATTGTTGGGTTAAGGTGGGACTCACTAGTCAAACATTGTTGGGTTAAGGTGTGACTCACTAGTCAAACATTGTATGTGTTGGGTTAAGGTGGGACTCACTAGTCAAATATTGTTGGGTTAAGGTGGGACTCACTAGTCAAATATTGTTGGGTTAAGGTGGGACTCACTAGTCAAACATTGTTGGGTTAAGGTGTGACTCACTAGTCAAACATTGTATGTGTTGGGTTAAGGTGGGACTCACTAGTCAAATATTGTTGGGTTAAGGTGGGACTCACTAGTCAAACATTGTTGGGTTAAGGTGTGACTCACTAGTCAAACATTGTATGTGTTGGGTTAAGGTGGGACTCACTAGTCAAACATTGTTGGGTTAAGGTGGGACTCACTAGTCAAATATTGTTGGGTTAAGTGGGACTCACTAGTCAAACATTGTATGTGTTGGGTTAAGGTGGGACTCACTAGTCAAACATTGTATGTGTTGGGTTAAGGTGGGACTCACTAGTCAAACATTGTATGTGTTGGGTTAAGGTGGGACTCACTAGTCAAATATTGTTGGGTTAAGGTGGGACTCACTAGTAAAACATTGTATGTGTTGGGTTAAGGTGGGACTCACTAGTCAAACATTGTATGTGTTGGGTTAAGGTGGGACTCACTAGTCAAACATTGTTGGGTTAAGGTGGGACTCACTAGTCAAACATTGTATGTGTTGGGTTAAGGTGGGACTCACTAGTCAAACATTGTATGTGTTGGGTTAAGGTGGGACTCACTAGTAAAACATTGTATGTGTTGGGTTAAGGTGGGACTCACTAGTCAAACATTGTATGTGTTGGGTTAAGGTGGGACTCACTAGTCAAACATTGTTGGGTTAAGGTGGGACTCACTAGTAAAACATTGTATGTGTTGGGTTAAGGTGGGACTCACTAGTCAAATATTGTTGGGTTAAGTGGGACTCACTAGCCAAACATTGTTGGGTTAAGGTGTGACTCACTAGTCAAATATTGTTGGGTTAAGGTGGGACTCACTAGTCAAACATTGTTGGGTTAAGGTGGGACTCACTAGTCAAATATTGTTGGGTTAAGGTGGGACTCACTAGTCAAATATTGTTGGGTTAAGGTGGGACTCACTAGTCAAATATTGTTGGGTTAAGGTGGGACTCACTAGTCAAACATTGTTGAGTTAAGGTGGGACTCACTAGCCAAACATTGTTGGGTTAAGGTGGGACTCACTAGTCAAACATTGTTGGGTTAAGGTGGGACTCACTAGTCAAACATTGTATGTGTTGGGTTAAGGTGGGACTCACTAGTCAAATATTGTTGGGTTAAGGTGGGACTCACTAGTCAAACATTGTATGTGTTGGGTTAAGGTGGGACTCACTAGTCAAATATTGTTGGGTTAAGGTGGGACTCACTAGTCAAACATTGTTGGGTTAAGGTGTGACTCACTAGTCAAATATTGTTGGGTTAAGGTGGGACTCACTAGTCAAACATTGTTGGGTTAAGGTGGGACTCACTAGTCAAATATTGTATGTGTTGGGTTAAGGTGGGACTCACTAGTCAAATATTGTATGTGTTGGGTTAAGGTGGGACTCACTAGTCAAACATTGTATGTGTTGGGTTAAGGTGGGACTCACTAGTCAAACATTGTATGTGTTGGGTTAAGGTGGGACTCACTAGTCAAATATTGTATGTGTTGGGTTAAGGTGGGACTCACTAGTCAAACATTGTTGGGTTAAGGTGGGACTCACTAGTCAAATATTGTTGGGTTAAGGTGGGACTCACTAGTCAAACATTGTATGTGTTGGGTTAAGGTGGGACTCACTAGTCAAACATTGTTGGGTTAAGGTGGGACTCACTAGTCAAATATTGTTGGGTTAAGGTGGGACACACTAGTCAAATATTGTTGGGTTAAGGTGGGACTCACTAGTCAAACATTGTATGTGTTGGGTTAAGGTGGGACTCACTAGTCAAATATTGTATGTGTTGGGTTAAGGTGGGACTCACTAGTCAAATATTGTATGTGTTGGGTTAAGGTGGGACTCACTAGTCAAATATTGTATGTGTTGGGTTAAGTGGGACTCACTAGTCAAATATTGTATGTGTTGGGTTAAGGTGGGACTCACTAGTCAAACATTGTTGGGTTAAGGTGGGACTCACTAGTCAAACATTGTTGGGTTAAGGTGGGACTCACTAGTCAAACATTGTATGTGTTGGGTTAAGTGGGACTCACTAGTCAAACATTGTATGTGTTGGGTTAAGGTGGGACTCACTAGTCAAACATTGTTGGGTTAAGGTGGGACTCACTAGTCAAACATTGTTGGGTTAAGGTGTGACTCACTAGTCAAATATTGTATGTGTTGGGTTAAGGTGGGACTCACTAGTCAAACATTGTTGGGTTAAGTGGGACTCACTAGTCAAACATTGTATGTGTTGGGTTAAGGTGGGACTCACTAGTCAAACATTGTTGGGTTAAGTGGGACTCACTAGTCAAACATTGTATGTGTTGGGTTAAGGTGGGACTCACTAGTCAAACATTGTTGGGTTAAGGTGGGACTCACTAGTCAAACATTGTTGGGTTAAGGTGTGACTCACTAGTCAAACATTGTTGGGTTAAGGTGGGACTCACTAGTCAAACATTGTTGGGTTAAGGTGGGACTCACTAGTCAAACATTGTTGGGTTAAGGTGTGACTCACTAGTCAAACATTGTTGGGTTAAGGTGGGACTCACTAGTCAAACATTGTTGGGTTAAGGTGGGACTCACTAGTCAAACATTGTTGGGTTAAGGTGGGACTCACTAGTCAAACATTGTATGTGTTGGGTTAAGGTGGGACTCACTAGTCAAATATTGTTGGGTTAAGGTGTGACTCACTAGTCAAACATTGTATGTGTTGGGTTAAGGTGGGACTCACTAGTCAAACATTGTATGTGTTGGGTTAAGGTGGGACTCACTAGTCAAACATTGTTGGGTTAAGGTGGGACTCACTAGTCAAACATTGTATGTGTTGGGTTAAGGTGGGACTCACTAGTAAAACATTGTATGTGTTGGGTTAAGGTGTGACTCACTAGTCAAACATTGTTGGGTTAAGGTGTGACTCACTAGTCAAACATTGTTGGGTTAAGGTGGGACTCACTAGTCAAACATTGTTGGGTTAAGGTGGGACTCACTAGTCAAACATTGTTGGGTTAAGGTGGGACTCACTAGTCAAACATTGTATGTGTTGGGTTAAGGTGGGACTCACTAGTCAAATATTGTTGGGTTAAGGTGGGACTCACTAGTCAAACATTGTATGTGTTGGGTTAAGGTGGGACTCACTAGTCAAATATTGTTGGGTTAAGTGGGACTCACTAGTCAAATATTGTTGGGTTAAGGTGTGACTCACTAGTCAAACATTGTTGGGTTAAGGTGGGACTCACTAGTCAAACATTGTATGTGTTGGGTTAAGGTGGGACTCACTAGTCAAATATTGTTGGGTTAAGTGGGACTCACTAGTCAAATATTGTTGGGTTAAGGTGTGACTCACTAGTCAAACATTGTATGTGTTGGGTTAAGGTGTGACTCACTAGTCAAACATTGTTGGGTTAAGGTGGGACTCACTAGTCAAACATTGTTGGGTTAAGGTGGGACTCACTAGTCAAATATTGTTGGGTTAAGGTGGGACTCACTAGTCAAACATTGTTGGGTTAAGGTGGGACTCACTAGTCAAATATTGTTGGGTTAAGGTGGGACTCACTAGTCAAATATTGTTGGGTTAAGTGGGACTCACTAGTCAAACATTGTTGGGTTAAGGTGGGACTCACTAGTCAAATATTGTTGGGTTAAGTGGGACTCACTAGTCAAACATTGTATGTGTTGGGTTAAGGTGGGACTCACTAGTCAAATATTGTTGGGTTAAGTGGGACTCACTAGTCAAATATTGTTGGGTTAAGGTGGGACTCACTAGTCAAATATTGTTGGGTTAAGTGGGACTCACTAGTCAAACATTGTTGGGTTAAGTGGGACTCACTAGTCAAACATTGTATGTGTTGGGTTAAGGTGGGACTCACTAGTCAAATATTGTTGGGTTAAGTGGGACTCACTAGTCAAATATTGTTGGGTTAAGGTGTGACTCACTAGTCAAACATTGTATGTGTTGGGTTAAGGTGGGACTCACTAGTCAAATATTGTTGGGTTAAGGTGGGACTCACTAGTCAAATATTGTTGGGTTAAGGTGGGACTCACTAGTCAAATATTGTTGGGTTAAGGTGTGACTCACTAGTCAAATATTGTTGGGTTAAGTGGGACTCACTAGTCAAACATTGTTGGGTTAAGTGGGACTCACTAGCCAAACATTGTTGGGTTAAGGTGGGACTCACTAGTCAAATATTGTTGGGTTAAGTGGGACTCACTAGTCAAACATTGTTGGGTTAAGTGGGACTCACTAGCCAAACATTGTATGTGTTGGGTTAAGGTGGGACTCACTAGTCAAACATTGTATGTGTTGGGTTAAGGTGGGACTCACTAGTCAAACATTGTTGGGTTAAGGTGGGACTCACTAGTCAAATATTGAAAGTGCTGGGTTAAGAGAGACTTACAGTTTTAAATATCCCCTTCTCTCTGAGCCTTTTTGGGCTTGAGAATTTGCTACATTAGCAATCATACAATGTCTTATCTCCTGTAAAACACATCATAGAATGATGCCAGCATCATTAAAAGTAAATGCGACAAATTTTGATTCCAAAAAAAAAAAGAAAAATCTTTGCCTCAATAAAAATTTGAAATGTAAACAACTTGACTTGACCAAATATTGACCAACATTTTTGTTTACCTCTTCCTGTTTGTGAAGATGGTCTCTGGACATCTGAGTAAAGCGCTGGAGGGACTGGTTCAGTTGTTTCTCCTCTAGCAGTTTCTTTTTATTTACAGCTGAAAGTTTACAGATGGTGGACTAGTGTGATGGTAGAATGGTGGAGTGTTGTGATGGTGGAATGGTGGAGTGGTGGAGTGGTGGAGTCATGTGATGGTGGAGTGGTGTGAAGGTGGAGTGGTGTGATGGTAATGTGGAGTGGTTTGATGGTGGAGTGGTGTGATGGTGGAATAGTGTGATGGTGGAATAGTGTGATGGTGGAATAGTGTGATGGTGGATTGGTGTGAAGGTGGAGTGGTGTGATGGTAATGTGGAGTGGTTTGATGGTGGAATGGTGTGATGGTGGAGTGGTGTGATGGTGGAGTCATGTGATGGTGGAGTGGTTTGATGGTGTTGTGGTGTGATGGTGGATTGGTGTGAAGGTGGAGTCATGTGATGGTGGAGTGGTGTGATGGTAGTGTGGAGTGGTGTGATGGTGGATTGGTGTGAAGGTGGAGTCATGTGATGGTGGAATGGTGTGATGGTGGAGTGGTGTGATGGTGGAGTGGTGTGATGGTGGAGTGGTGTGATGGTGGAGTGGTGTGATGGTGGAGTGGTTTGATGGTGTTGTGGTGTGATGGTGGATTGATTTGGAGTGGTGGAGTGTTGTGATGGTGAAGTGGTGGAGTGGTGTGATGGTGGAGTGGTGTGATGGTAGTGTGGAGTGTTGTGATGGTGGATTGGTGTGAAGGTGGAGTCATGTGATGGTGGAATGGTGTGATGGTAGTGTGGAGTGGTGTGATGGTGGATTGGTGTGAAGGTGGAGTGGTTTGATGGTGGAGTGGTTTGATGGTGGAGTGGTGTGGTGGTGGAGTGGTGTGGTGGTGGAGTGGTGTGAAGGTGGAGTGGTGTGGTGGTGGAGAGGTGTGGTGTGATGGTGGAGTGATGTGGAGTGGTGTGATGATGGAGTGGTATGAAGGTGGAGTGGTGTGGTGGTGGAGTGGTGTGGTGTGATGGTGGAGTGATGTGGTGGTGGAATGGTGTGATGGTGGAATAGTGTGATGGTGGAATAGTGTGATGGTGGAATAGTGTGATGGTGGAATAGTGTGATGGTGGAATAGTGAGATGGTGGAGTGGTTTGATGGTGGAGTGTTGTGATGGTGGAGTGGTGTGGTGGTGGAATTGTGTGATGGTGGAATAGTGTGATGGCGGAGTTTGTGATGGTGTTGTGATGGTGGAGTGGTGTGTTGGTGGAGTAGTGTAGTGGTGTAAATGGATTATTTGAACAATTATTGACTTTAAAAAACTTTTGCCTACCATTTTCATAATCTCTGAGTGTGTGTCTGACTGCTCTCTGTTGTTTAAGGATGTCTCCCTCTATCCGCTTCAACTCCCTCTCCTCTTGCTTGTGTAGCCACATATGATCCTTAGCAAGACAAAAATATTTTGTTTGGTGAGGTGAGATCTTTTGTTTGGTGAGGTGAGATCTTTTGTTTGGTGAGGTGAGATCTTTTGTTTGGTGAGGTGAGATCTTTTGTTTGGTGAGGTGAGATCTTTTGTTTGGTGAGGTGAGATCTTTTGTTTGGTGAGGTGAGATCTTTTGTTTGGTGAGGTGAGATCTTTTGTTTGGTGAGGTGAGATCTTTTGTTTGGTGAGATCTTTTGTTTGGTGAGGTGAGATCTTTTGTTTGGTGAGGTGAGATCTTTTGTTTGGTGAGATCTTTTGTTTGGTGAGGTGAGATCTTTTGTTTGGTGAGGTGAGATCTTTTGTTTGGTGAGGTGAGATCTTTTGTTTGGTGAGGTGAGATCTTTTGTTTGGTGAGATCTTTTGTTTGGTGAGGTGAGATCTTTTGTTTGGTGAGGTGAGATCTTTTGTTTGGTGAGATCTTTTGTTTGGTGAGGTGAGATCTTTTGTTTGGTGAGGTGAGATCTTTTGTTTGGTGAGGTGAGATCTTTTGTTTGGTGAGGTGAGATCTTTTGTTTGGTGAGGTGAGATCTTCTGTTTGGTGAGATCTTTTGTTTGGTGAGATCTTTTGTTTGGTGAGGTGAGATCTTTTGTTTGGTGAGGTGAGATCTTTTGTTTGGTGAGGTGAGATATTTTGTTTGGTGAGGTGAGATCTTTTGTTTGGTGAGGTGAGATCTTTTGTTTGGTGAGGTGAGATCTTTTGTTTGGTGAGGTGAGATATTTTGTTTGGTGAGGTGAGATCTTTTGTTTGGTGAGGTGAGATCTTTTGTTTGGTGAGGTGAGATCTTTTGTTTGGTGAGGTGGGATCTTTTGTTTGGTGAGGTGAGATCTTTTGTTTGGTGAGGTGAGATCTTTTGTTTGGTGAGGTGAGATCTTTTGTTTGGTGAGGTGAGATCTTTTGTTTGGTGAGGTGAGATCTTTTGTTTGGTGAGGTGAGATCTTTTGTTTGGTGAGATCTTTTGTTTGGTGAGGTGAGATCTTTTGTTTGGTGAGGTGAGATCTTTTGTTTGGTGAGGTGAGATCTTTTGTTTGGTGAGGTGAGATCTTTTGTTTGGTGAGGTGAGATCTTTTGTTTGGTGAGGTGAGATCTTTTGTTTGGTGAGGTGAGATCTTTTGTTTGGTGAGGTGAGATCTTTTGTTTGGTGAGGTGAGATCTTTTGTTTGGTGAGGTGAGATCTTTTGTTTGGTGAGGTGAGATCTTTTGTTTGGTGAGGTGAGATCTTTTGTTTGGTGAGGTGAGATCTTTTGTTTGGTGAGGTGAAATCTTTTGTTTGGTGAGATCTTTTGTTTGGTGAGGTGAAATCTTTTGTTTGGTGAGGTGAGATCTTTTTGGTGAGGTGAGATCTTTTGTTTGGTGAGGTGAGATCTTTTGTTTGGTGAGGTGAGATCTTTTGTTTGGTGAGGTGAAATCTTTTGTTTGGTGAGATCTTTTGTTTGGTGAGGTGAAATCTTTTGTTTGGTGAGGTGAGATCTTTTGTTTGGTTAGGTGAGATCTTTTGTTTGGTGAGGTGAGATCTTTTGTTTGGTGAGGTGAGATATTTTGTTTGGTGAGGTGAGATCTTTTGTTTGGTGAGGTGAGATCTTTTGTTTGGTGAGGTGAGATCTTTTGTTTGGTGAGGTGAGATATTTTGTTTGGTGAGGTGAGATCTTTTGTTTGGTGAGGTGAGATCTTTTGTTTGGTGAGATGAGATCTTTTGTTTGGTGAGGTGAGATCTTTTGTTTGGAGAGGTGAGATCTTTTGTTTGGTGAGGTGAGATCTTTTTGGAGAAGGTGAGCTCTTTTGTTTGGTGAGGTGAGATCTTTTGTTTGGTGAGGTGAGATCTTTTGTTTGGTGAGGTGAGATCTTTTGTTTGGTGAGGTGAGATCTTTTGTTTGGTGAGGTGAGATCTTTTTGGTGAGGTGAGATCTTTTGTTTGGTGAGGTGAGATCTTTTGTTTGGTGAGGTGAGATCTTTTTGGTGAGGTGAGATCTTTTGTTTGGTGAGGTGAGATCTTTTGTTTGGTGAGGTGAGATCTTTTGTTTGGTGAGGTGAGATCTTTTGTTTGGTGAGGTGAGATCTTTTGTTTGGTGAGGTGAGATCTTTTGTTTGGTGAGGTGAGATCTTTTGTTTGGTGAGATCTTTTGTTTGGTGAGGTGAGATCTTTTGTTTGGTGAGGTGAGATCTTTTGTTTGGTGAGGTGAGATCTTTTGTTTGGTGAGATCTTTTGTTTGGTGAGGTGAGATCTTTTGTTTGGTGAGGTGAGATCTTTTTGGTGAGTGAGATCTTTTGTTTGGTGAGGTGAGATCTTTTGTTTGGTGAGGTGAGATCTTTTGTTTGGTGAGGTGAGATCTTTTGTTTGGTGAGGTGAGATCTTTTGTTTGGTGAGGTGAGATCTTTTGTGGGCATATCAAACTTGTGGGCATATGAAACTTGTGGGCATATGAAAACTTGTGGGCATACCAAACTTGTGGGCATATCAAACTTGTGGGCATACCAAACTTGTGGGCATATCAAACTTGTGGGCATATCAAACTTGTGGGCATATCAAACTTGTGGGCATATCAAAACTTATACTAAGATTTGATCAATCATGATGTGCACTAGATGGCCCAAACACATCACATGTGTAACACTGGCTAAAGACATTGTTGTGAACATTTTGACCATCAGATATGTTCTAGGCTATCCATTATCTTTCATAATTTAAGCTTTTATTGTACAACAGGAGCATATTTGCTTTTAGAAGGTGAATACATGCCAATTAGCTATCCATAGGTCTACCAACCTCAATAACTTTAATATTTTTTTCATACTCTCTCTCATCTTGTTTGACTCGCTCAGAAAACAAAAGCACATTGTTGATAGTGGTGTCACTTCTAGTCCTTGGACGGGAGGGCTGCTTGTCTTTCTTCAAGGTGTAGGTGTAGCTGTACCTGGTGGAGTCTAGAAAACCTCCTGGGCCAACATTTCTTTCTTGGGCTCTATGGACAAATATAGGCAAAGTTCATGTCTTACATAGCAACAATACATGTACAATCAGATGACCTTGACATAGCAACAATACATGTACAATCAGATGACCTTGACATAACAACAATACATGTACAATCAGATGGCCTTGAGTGGATGGAAAACATGGCTCAGGGTAAACTTCTCTAAAATGCTGGCTTTCAAATAGACAAATGTTTCATTGTTTTCAGACTTCTCTAAAATGCTGGCTTTCAAATAGACAAATGTTTCATTGTTTTCAGACTTCTCTGAAATGCTGGCTTTCAAATGGACAACTGTTTAACTGTTTTCATACATCAATGTGTGTATGTAAAAGTACTCACCAGCACAACTGACAAGCATACACGCATGCACAAGTACTCACACACAAAGAGCTGAAAATTGACCTACTTAAGAAAAGCTGCGTAATCTTTGCTCTCCTCAGCAGCATCTGTCTGCTCCTCCGGTGTGAGACCTGGAGCACTCAGAGGTCTCTTAAGGAGCTGGTAACGATTATGCAGCAGCTTGCACCTGTCAAATGGTAGGTCTGTCAACACCATTCTGAAATAGAATTTTAATATGGGGTTCAATATAAAGCCACAATATCTTGTTACATCAGCAGGATTCCCTTTTACTAATCCACAAGACTAACACAAACATTGTCATTAGAAATTTGAAGATTTAAATGACTACTGTTTGAGTATTACAATTATTATATAGTATTTTTATTGTAAAAATTCCATTTTTTTATAGGAACTTACAATACTGCTCTATTAAATCATTTTCTTTGTTCTACGTTTAGAAATTAAACTAAAGTTAAACAAGTTCCTAATTCAATTCCATTTTTTTATAGGAACTTACAATACTGCTATATTAAATCATTTTCTATGTTCCTTGTTTAGAAATTATTCTAAAGTTAAACAAGTTCCTAATTCAATTTGGACCAAGTCAAAGAATGTAGGGGGCTCTGGAGAGGAGCTTCTGTAACATTTAAAAACATGATTGGCTCTAAGCAAACAGCTTATGAGACCAAGCAACATGAATTTTGAACTCTTGTGTAAAATCTGTTTAAACTGACAATGTGTCATTGAACAATAAGTGGCTGGAACATAAAAAGTACCTAACACAAGGAAAGCACAAATCTGCTGGAGTGAGAAATTCAGAGATGGAGGTGTTAGCAGTTAGGTGTTAGGCCCCATGTCAAGCAAAATGGAAACTAGAAAATCAGACAAAGGCATATCATAGGATCAACGAGGATAAACACAAAGAGGAATATCCAAAAAAAAACAACACATGGCATAGAAATATAGCAAAAGACAGGAAATTTTTTTTAAACAAAATTGTAAAGCAAGATTGGCTGGTTTAGAGAGAAATGTGACAACAAAGTAATGTTTTTTAAAACCATGCATATGCACATTTTATTCAATAATTTTTTAAAACCATGCATATGCACATTTTATTCAATAATTTTTTAAAACCATGCATATGCACATTTTATTCAATAATTTTTTAAAACCATGCATATGCACATTTTATTCAATAATTTTAAAAAAATATTAGGACCTACATTTTAAATTTTCTTTAAGCAATGCACATGGAAAGTTTTTTTAACATATTTTTTTTAAATTTTTACATTTAAAATCTTCTTCAACTGCAAGATTATTTTAATTATGAGCATTAAAATAATAATCAATACAGTGGGAATAAAAAAAATAATTACTTAAATAGCAATATTTAATGTGAGTTGAATTTCTTATATTTGTAAAAAAATATTACATTTATAATATTTGAATGTGGGTATGGTGTCTGTGAGGGTGACCTTTTTTGATGGGGAAAAAGAGTTTCGCATTTTAAGAAGTAATTAGGTCATTTTGTTTTTATTTGTTTTCTCTGCCCCTCATTAAGCTAGGCCATTAAATTTGGTCTCAAATTAACCAGTAAGTGATATGGTTTAATGATATATGATAAGTGACAGAAAATTCTAATTAAAAATTTAACAAGAAAATCTATGATATAACATGGTTGTAATGGAAAGGTGTGTCGTACCATGGCAGTGAGTAAAGTTCCCTTTTCAAACCTGACGGTCTATAGGGCAAGTGAAGTAGAGTTCACTTGTTTCTGTGACCTCGGCATATGAAGAGATAGTGTGGTCAGCACTATGCCCAGCCGCCAGAGGCGTAGTGACCCCTCCCAGCGCCCGGGGACAAAACTTTCTATTTGCACCCCCCCCTCGAACTTTTCATTTGCACCCCCCCCCCTCAAACTTTCGATTTGCACCCCCCCTCAAACTTTCAATTTGGCGCCCCCCCTAAGGTCAGCGCCCGGGGACATATGTCCCTTCCGCCCCTCCCTACGCTTCTGCCAGAGGCCTTTACTTTCCCTAACGTGTGTTAGGTACCCATCAGAGTTGGGTGGACTCGGGGACGGTCTACTGACTTGAACCCGGATTCAAACTCGAGACTATATCGGGTTAGCAGTCCAGCTCTCTACCACTAGACCAGGGGTCGGCAACCTTTTGAAGCGGAAGAGCCAAAAGTTACAATTTTCAAAATTTCCCTGGTTTTAAAGAGCCTCTAACATTTTTTTATTTCAAATATTTTATTTTTTGATTAAGATTATTAGTATTTGTGCAAGGAGCTGGAGAGCCGCATCTTGATATCAAAAGAGCCGCATGCGGCTCGCGAGCCGCAGGTTACCGACCCCTGCACTAGACCAATGGCAGTGAGTGACAAATATTAAATTAAGTAATTTAGTTTAAAACGAACTAAAAGCCTCAAAATTAGTGCCTAATGGGTTAATTTGATTAAATTAATAAATAATAAATATAAAATATAAATGGATGTCTTTTACCTGTAACACAGCTATGTTCAGAATTTTACCTTTGTAAACTGCTTAATAATCGGTTTGGTGACTGACGAATTTTCAAAGTTTCAACACATACATTTTATAATTACTTCACATTCATTTTAATCTAGTCGACAGTAATAAATACTAATAAATAGCTATAATTTGTTATAAAAACATATTTCAATACTTCCTGCCACCATCTTGTATAATTGTTGTCTTGGGAACAAGGTATAGCACTGGGAATTTAATTACGGAAACTGTACTAGTAGCGCCCCTTGAAAGAACAAGTATTCTGTAGAATTTAAACAGAGGTGACCGGAAAGAAGCGAAACGGAAAAAAAGCGCAAACAGAAAAAGCGCAAACAGAAAAACCGCACACAGAAAAAAGCGCAAACAGAAAAAAGTGCAAACAGAAAAAAGCACAAACAGAAAAAAGCGCAACGGAAAAATGCGCAACGGAAAAAAGCACAAAAAAGAAAAAATGCAAACAGAAAAAAAGCTAAACTTTCTCGAATATTCTTATCAGTAGCGTACGCAGGGGGAGCAGGGGGAGCGGCCACTCCCCCTCTGGCCATTTTCAGCAAAGTGGCGCCTTTTTGGAAACTTTTTAAACTCAAAGTTTTAAACAATGATATTTGTTAAAAAATATTTTTGGTCGGCACAACTATGTAAATCACAAGATTTCTTTTCATGCAGCAATTTAGCATTATTGTACTAGTCTAGTAGTGTCTACGTTTACAACACGTATTAACAGCTGCATCAGTTTGCCATTCTAAAAATAACCATTACTATGCATTGCAATGTTTAAAAAACCTCTACGGATAGTACCACTTGGCAAGAGGAGTGTTTAGTTTAAGGCAACTGCATAATGTATTTGCTTACGAATAATTGAATTAGAAAATGTTATACATAAAACTTCACACATAATTACTTTATATATACAGTTTGAATAGTGTGATTAATTTAAAAAAAAATTACAATGCAGACACAAATACAACTGATGTGGCACCTCTATTTAAATTTACTTATGAGCAAACTGCGTAGTGGTGGGGACATTTTGACAAGGTCATATATATATATATATATATATATATATATATATATATATAATATGTATTTGTGTAATATATATGTATGTTTAGACCAGTCATCTAAAAACTGACGCTATGTTCACTCTGAGTTGGTTATCTCTCTCCCCCCCCCCCGCACACACACAAACCTCACTGAGGTAGATTGGAAACACTGACGAGAAGCCGCGTTGGTTGTTAACAATTCTTTATTTCAGCCATGATGGAAGAGAGAGAGCGGAAGTGACGAGAGACAATTATTTATATACATGTAAGGGACATCACTCAAGATAACAGTATAAATATAATACTAATACAAGAAGAGTGAGTTCCCTTGACTTCACAAGTCTCACTATATTACATCCCTTTACCCTTAGTAAACACAACACATCTCTCAATAGAACAATTAACAGTATCCTAAAATCACCAATTATATTGTAACATGAACACTATGGTAGATTACATCCTTACAAACAATGCACAATATGTTACAACATAATTAAAATACAAAACAATGATGTCAAAGTCCTTTTGACCTTTAAAATCATAGGTCTAACTTATTTGGGACTTTGATTGTCCTGCTTGACCTTCTGGTAAACTATCACCACTGTACAAGCTGCTACAGAAAAATGCAACTTGGCACTGGTGTAAACAACAAGATACTGCTTTTAATACAGCAAAAGAGGCTTTGTCTTCTGACACCTTACTAACTCACTATGACCCAGGGAAAAGACTTATATTAACATGTGATGCTTCACCAGATGGTGTAGGAGCAGTCTTGTCCCACATGGATGAGAAGGGTGACAGACCCATTGCTTTTGCCAGTAGATCTTTGAACCAGGCTGAGAAAAATTATTCTCAGTTAGATAGGTGTAAGCCCTGCTAGGGGGGGATACCTTAAAATCTAGTCTTACCCTTCCCTAGGCTTATCTACTTAACTACTGTCCGGTCAGTGCAACCGTGGTAGAACCCACAGTGGTTAAACCCTAACCTTAGTCTAAATAATAAGCTACTAAAATAAAACAAAAACTTTTACAGTTAATAAAATTTATTGTATGGAACCAAAAGTTATAAAAAAAGAATAGATATAAACTGACACAAAACAGAACCAAACGAAACAAACTTTTTACATCAAACACAACAATTCATATATAACCAAACACCCAGCCAAGTTGCACAAGCAACCTCACTGGAAGGGGGGGGGAAGAGAAAAAGAAAAGGAAAACTTAAGAAAAATGCATGGTAATGGCAGATATATACATAAATATATACACAAGTTCAAAATGCTACCTACTACTACTATCTAGCTAAAGCCTCGAGTAAAACTAATCCCTACTATACAATTCTAAAAGCAATTCTCAAAAGCAAAACTAACCACTGTCTAAAGAAGAACTAGCAACTTAAAAATAACGTGTAAACAAATTCATTGTAGAACCAATCTTTCCTACACAAGGAGCAGCCCGAAGCCATTGGTCTACATAAACAACATCTATATTGATAACATTACAGTTAACACACTCCGCTAAGGCCCCAATGAAGGCAGACACAAAGCAAGCGATACTCAACATGACGTTGCACGAAACAGCACACACATTAATTTTAAACAACCTAAAACTCGAGGCAACTAAAATATACTAATCTAATTACTGTCTAACCAACTGACTATTGACTAAGCCAATCCTAGTCAATAACAACATATCATAAAACAATCAAGTAAATGCACACACGCATTCACACCAGTTTAGGAAACACTCCTAAACACACTGGCCTAAACCACGTGGTCCGAAACACACGCCACGGGTTTAGAAAACACCAAAAATACATTTTAATTCAAAATAACAAAATAACACACCACGTGCATACCAGACATGCCGATGCTCACTATCTCGTTTTAGACGAAAATGAAAGAAAACGAGAAACATCGACAGTCGCATTCATACAAATCACGTAAAGATAAAGTATAAAAAAACAAATACCTCCACGCGTGCGGTGCGCCACGCGGAAACCTGACCCGACCTACATCTCGCCGCGGGTCAAAAAAAGGAAGAAAATCACTCCGAGCGGTCAATTTATAATGACCGCTTCGGACGGAAGGGGACTCCGTGCCGTTCCCCATTGGACCACCATGCACTCCCAGATTCGCAACAAATAAAATACAAAAAAATCCATTCACCCGCTCACATAGGGAAGGCTTAGGCATCATTTTTGGTGTTAAGAAATTTCATAAGTTTCTGTTTGGTAGGAAGTTCACCATCTTTACAGATCATAAACCATTGCTAGGTTTATTTGGAGAAAACAAAACCCTACCTGAGCATGCCTCACCAAGAATTCAAAGATGGGCTATCACACTAACTGCATACAATTATGAATTGAAATACAAACCTGGATCTGAGAATAGTGCAGATAGTCTTAGTAGATTACCTTTAAAAAAAAACCAGAGCCTGAGCTATGTACCAGAAGATGTATTTGTTCTCTTCACTATCATGGATAACTCCAATATAAATGTGAATGATATTAAAAGAGAAACACAAAAAGATGAGTGCTTAATAAAAGTATATGAGCACTGTATGAATGGTTGGCCTGAAGAGTCTGTGAATGATGACTTAAGGCCATATAAAATAAGAAATTAAAACCCTTTGTGAAGATAATATAAAAGATGGAGAAGATGCAGTCCATTATCAGTCAGAGTTGCCTAAACAAAGTACTTGTAACTTAATAAATGATTATGGTGATATGGCAATTTCAAATGTTTTAAAGAGAATACATTAGTAAGAAGGAATGTGATCATCAAACAACTTTGCTAACATCATTAGCACTTACAGAAACTAAAAGGGTAACATCAAAAGAAAAAAAAAGATTTTTTGCCATTTAATACTTTCAGATGCCAATTCAAAAATAGTTCCATTAAATCATGACAACTCATGCATTGAAAGAGAATTTGGTGTTAATAAGAATGTGTATCTAAGAAATTATGGGAGAAAGGAAAAATGGATACCAGGTCAAATTGTTCAATGTACAGGACCTGTGCCTTATAAAGTTAAAAATAACTTGTGCAGATAATAAGTGTGAATCTGTCAATCCCACCAAATCTGATCAGTTCACACCAACTCAGTTTGTTCCACAACCAAGTTCTGTTGATATGAGTGAACCAAGTTGTCTGGAGTCAGAAAATGTAAATTCTGGAGTTAATGATTTAAATCCTAGACCTCCTGAGATAGAGAATCCAGATGGTCAGAATCTTGAGTCACCAAATCAAAAGCCACTGAGAAGGTCAAGCAGGACAATCAAAGTCCCAAATAAGTTAGACCTATGATTTTAAAGGTCAAGAGGACTTTGACATTATTGTTTTGTATTTTAATTATGTTGTAACATATTGTGCATTGTTTGTAAGGATGTAATCTACCATAGTGTTCATGTTACAATATAATTGGTGATTTTAGGATACCATCAATTGTTCTATTGAGAGATGTGTTATTGTGTTCTAAGGGTAAAGGGATGTAATAGATTGAGATAATTGTGAGGTCAAGGGAACTCACTCTTCTGTATTAGTATTATATTTATATTGTTATCTTGAGTGATGTCCCTTGTGCATTGTACTTCCTTCCGTCCTCCCTCTCTCTGTGGTACCATCATGTAGTTAGACCCAATAAACGTTATATACAACCACATGCTTCTATCGTCAATCTATTATATTACAGGCTTTTGAAAAATTCAAAGTAAAAAAAGTACCACTTCCGGTTATCAGAAATCGCTCAAAAGTTGATACGGATCTACGATTTTGATAAAATATTTATATATGAAATTTCATCAACCTAGCTGTAACGGTACTCAAGTTATCGTGTTTACACGCAGACACACAGACATAAGGACAAGATTGCAAAATTATGTTTTTCTGTATCAGTGAGGTGTAAAACGTTGAGATTTGTAAAAATCTCGATTTTTTTTTGCACGATTACAAGACTTTCTCTATACTTGGTATACATGAGAAAGTAAAAAAAAAAGGAAGAAGTTTAGCCCAAAAGTGCGTAGCTTCAAAAAAAATTAAAATACATCCAGAAAAAAATTAATATACACATTTGTATATTTACACATACATACATACATATAATTTTTTTTTTTTCATTTGGGGAGGGTTGGAAGAGATCAGCTGTCAGTGAAGCAGAAGCAGCCTGAATGTCGTGGATGAACCACCCAGAATTGATTACAATGGAGAGTTGTGGTTTTGTACCAAGGCTACACAAGGGTCCACGGATATGATAATTGTTGTATATTAATCTTTTTTTTTCAGCTGGAGTTATATAGGGATTGCATAATGTCACATCAATGCTTGCTACTGATACCAAAGATTAATATTTTGTTACAAGAAAAGAACACCTGGATCTTCGTTCAAACTTTTATTTGACAAAATAAAAATTATTTTTGGTAATTATACAAAAAGGTTGTTAAATACTGATAATTAATTTAAATAAAACAATGAACTATAGACATTTTTTTTTAACATTAATTCTAGTAGAAATGTAAAAAATTAAATTATTCATAAAAGATTTAAAAAGATTCATGATTGGTATAGAGCCCAATTTTTGTGCGTTTAAATGGTTGGTATAGAGCCCAATAAATTATTAATGTGGATTGAAACTAAATAAATTAAATGGACAATCTGTAGACTATGGTATATATAATCTAACAACTACAAAGCATATCATACAATCTAATTACTTCAAGAATTGAATATAATATCAAGTTCACCATAATTTCAAAATTTTATAAATTTTTTTAATCGATAAACTTAACTACAAGCATATATAATTTTATTAATTACAAGCATACATAATTTAATTTAATTACAAGCATACATAATTTCATTTAATTACGAGCATATATAATTTCATTTAATTACAAGCATATATAATTTCATTTAATTACAAGCATATATAATTTTATTTAATTACAAGCATATATAATTTAATTACAAGCATATATAATTTTATTTAATAACAAGCATACATAATTTCATTTAATTACAAGCATACATAATTTCATTTAATTACAAGCATACATAATTTCATTTAATTACAAGCATATATAATTTTATTTTATTACGAGCATATATAATTTTATTTTATTACGAGCATATATAATATTATTTATTAAGATTTTAAATGCACTGAAAATGATAAAGTGAAAGCAAGTTTATTAAATTCTCTTATTTTCAGTACACTGAAAAGCTTATTATTATGACGTTTTTTGTATTTGTTTTATTTTTTACTTTTTAGTAACGACAACACATATGACAAAAATTATTGACTTTAAAACCTATCAGCATTCTCTAAAAGACAGTTATTTGCCCCATGCCAGTGGTTGGTGTCCACCATGTGACCAAAGCCTGCCTTGTATACAGGCTGACACAGCCATCACCAGTTTTCTCCCCTTTATTCTTACATTTATTTTTGATGACTAAATTAACATATAATTAAATTTAAAAAGAAATAAATGTTTTTGTGCTGTCACTGAAGATCAAAGTTTCTGGAAGTGAAATGGCTGCTTTAGATGTGGTGCCACGTTGTAACTCAAAAGTTTTTACAAACTGTCACAGTTGTAAATGTAAAGATGTCCAGATGTAGACCTAAACAAAAATATCAAAGTAAGGATGCAATTTTTATTCAATCAATTATCATATCAAACATGAAACTGCTATAAATTCTCAGATTTAATATTATATACATAAATTATCTGGTACGCAAATATTGCCAAAAGCGGGTAGTATAAATACATATTTTGCGATTAACTACCTTTTGCTTTGAGCAATCTAACTTTTATTTATTGTTTCATAAATAATAGTGCATTTATAAAGCTTGTTGTTAAAAATGTGTTATAGATTGATTGACACTTAAATCTCTCTTTTTTTAAAATTAATTAATTAATAAATTAATTACAAATATTTCTCTTGACTACATCTTGACTTAAACACTTGAACACAGAAAGGTGAGATCACAGGTGGAAAGAGAAGGTCAGACAAAGGGCTGCAACAAGAAAATACTTCCGTCAAACTGAATAAAGAGATCTCTTTCTACCTGAATCAACTTAGAGTTTTCTTGGTTTGGATCCATGCATTGTGAGAATGTGTTTTGGAAAAAAAATCTTTGTGTCTCCTACTCAACCAGAGGCTGACGGCGCCCTCCAGGTGTTCCAGACTGGCAGCCTCAGCTTCGTGCATCTTCTCCAGCTGAAACATGGGATTCTAGAGTTCTGGGACCTTCATGTGCAAGGGGAAACAACTTACTTTGTCCCCACCTTGTCCACCATTTGTCCCCACCTTGTCCACCATTTGTCCCCACCTTGTCCACTGTTTGTCCCACCTTGTCCACCATTTGTCCCCACCTTGTCCACCATTTGTCCCCACCTTGTCCACCGTTTGTCCCACCTTGTCCACTGTTTGTCCCACCTTGTCCACCATTTGTCCCCACCTTGTCCACCATTTGTCCCCACCTTGTCCACCATTTGTCCCCAACTTGTCCACCATTTGTCCCCACCTTGTCCACTGTTTGTCCCACCTTGTCCACCATTTGTCCCCACCTTGTCCACCATTTGTCCCCATCTTGTCCACTGTTTGTCCCACCTTGTCCACCATTTGTCCCCACCTTGTCCACCATTTGTCCCCACCTTGTCCACCATTTGTCCCCACCTTGTCCACTGTTTGTCCCCCACCTTATCCACTGTTTGTCCCACCTTGTCCACCATTTGTCCCCACATTGTCCACTGTTTGCCCACCTTGTCCACCATTTGTCCCACCTTGTCCACCATTTGTCCCCACCTTGTCCACTGTTTGTCCCACCTTGTCCACCATTTGTCCCCACCTTGTCCACTGTTTGTCCCACCTTGTCCACCATTTGTCCCCACCTTGTCCACTGTTTGTCCCACCTTGTCCACCATTTGTCCCCACCTTGTCCACCATTTGTCCCCACCTTGTCCACCATTTGTCCCCATCTTGTCCACTGTTTGTCCCACCTTGTCCACCATTTGTACCCATCTTGTCCACTGTTTGTCCCACCTTGTCCACCATTTGTCCCCATCTTGTCCACCATTTGTCCCCACCTTGTCCACCATTTGTCCCCATCTTGTCCACTGTTTGTCCCACCTTGTCCACCATTTGTCCCCATCTTGTCCACTGTTTGTCCCACCTTGTCCACCATTTGTCCCCATCTTGTCCACCATTTGTCCCCACCTTGTCCACCATTTGTCCCCATCTTGTCCACTGTTTGTCCCACCTTGTCCACCATTTGTCCCCACCTTGTCCCCTGTTTGTCCCCACCTTGTCCAATGTTTGTAACACTTGATCCCATGAGCTCTGTAGAGTGGATACAATCCTCTGGTTGTCTTGTGGGCTGCGGTTAGGACTGGGGCTGGCAGGTCTGGGGGTGGTGCAAGAACTGGTAGGGCGACTTGGTAAAGAAGGTTGGCCAACAAATTTCACTTGGCGGAAAGCCTTGAAAATTATTACATTATAAAAAATTAAATTCAATGCACTTTAAAATGAGAGCTTGTATTGAATAAAAAATTATTTTGACCATGTCTTTTTTAAAATGATTTGAAAACTGAATATCTAAGTTATATGTATGACTAATAATCTAAGTTACTTGATTGACAACAATCCAAGAAATTATTTTTTTATTAAGCTTTGTATTCAATTCCCCCCCCCCCCCCCATTTGTTCTAGTCTGACCTTATCCCCCCCCCCTCTATTTGGTCTAGTCTGACCTTATTCCCCCCCCCCCCCATTTGGTCTAGTCTGATGTTATCCCCCCCCCCACATTTGGTCTAGTCTGACCTTATTCCCCCCTCTATTTGGTCTAGTCTGACCTTATCCCCCCTCTATTTGGTCTAGTCTGATGTTATCCCCCCCCCACATTTGGTCTAGTCTGACCTTATTCCCCCCTCTATTTGGTCTAGTCTGACCTTATCCCCCCTCTATTTGGTCTAGTCTGACCTTATCCCCCCTCTATTTGGTCTAGTCTGACCTTATCCCCCCTCTATTTGGTCTAGTCTGACCTTATCCCCCCTCTATTTGGTCTAGTTTGACCTTATCCCCCCTCTATTTGGTCTAGTCTGACCTTATTCCCCCCTCTATTTGGTCTAGTCTGATGTTATCCCCCCCCCCCTCTCTATTTGGTCTAGTCTGATGTTATCCCCCCCCCTCTATTTGGTCTAGTCTGACCTTACCCCCCCCCCCAATTATCCCCCAGTCTTACAGGTTTAGCCTTGTGGATGCCTATGATTGTCTTCAAGTAGCTGAGCATGAGCTCCATCAGCTCAAAGTCTTTGAGCTCCAGGCTGTGATACATCTGAGAGTGGGACCAGCGGTAGCTCCAGCTCAGGGCAGCCAACATCAGAGCACTGGTCAGGCCGTACACACACACAGCGTAGGACATGAGGTACAGGTGGGTCAACACCTCATGCTGCCCCAGCAGGGGTCGTAGGTCAGTGCGACCCAGTGCCAGCAGGAAGGTCAAGGTACTGGGAAAGCTGCGGCACACGAAGGTAAATGGTCCGTAGATCTGCGGAGTTCAGAGGTCAAATTTCTTTGGTAGAGTAGAGCAAGACTTAACCCTTAACTAACAAGATGCTTCAACTTTCTCTATCAGACTTGCTGTCTGGACTATTGTACACAATACAACAGCCAAACCTTCATCCTAAGCTTCAGTTCAACAAATTCAATTTTAGAATGGAAAAGAGAACTGGACACACCCGGGACATCCTTCTCCCACACATTCTTCCACACATTCTCCCACACATTCTTCCACACATTCTCCCACACATTCTCCCACACATTCTCCCACACATTTTCCCACACATTCTCCCACACATTCTCCCACACATTCTCCCACAGCTTCACCATGACCCTTCACACCCCACCGTGTGGGCAGGGCCGGCGCTACCTATAAGGCGAACTAGGCGGTCGCCTAGGGCGCTGTCCATAGGGAGGCGCCAAAATGGGTTGGAAAAGCAAATTGAAAGTTTGAGGGGGGGGGGGAGTGCAAATCGGCGGGAAGGGTCGCTACACCTCTGATAACACGGGGCATGAAAAAAATTGAAAAATTGGGGGGGGGGGGGGGGGGGGGGGGGGGGTGAGGGGGGGGGGGTGCCTGGCGCCGGCACTGCATGTGGGGGAGATTTTTGTCCTCTCCAGTTGCTTCAGGTTTCCTCAGGGACTGTGCTGTGCCACAACTCACCAGATATCCCAGCTGGCCATAGGTCAGAGTTACTGTGCTGTGTCACAACTCACCAGATATCCCAGCTGGCCATAGGTCAGAGTTACTGTGCTGTGCCACAACTCACCAGATATCCCAGCTGGCCATAGGTCAGAGTTAAGAGAGAAAAGATGAGCAAAGTCCCCAGCACTGGCGCCCTGGCTGCACAAAATGTCATGTACAATTTATAGAGTGGCTTGCAGTAGCGGCTCTGGCGCAGGATCTAAATCAGAAAGTTGATCATTCACTAAATCAAATGTTCAAAAAGTTGATTATTCACTAAATCAAATGTTCAAAAAGTTGATTATTCACTAAATCAAATGTTCAAAAAGTTGATTATTCACTAAATCAAATGTTCAAAAAGTTGATCATTCACTAAAAAAGGTGATGATATATTTAATCAACGGTAAATTTTTAAATTATTTACTAATATCATTTTTATATATTTGATACTATCATGTGTGTAACCTTACTTTTAGACTAATATACAAACATGCATGGAACCTTACCTTTAGATTAACATACAAACATGCATGGAACCTTACCTGTAGACTAACATACAAACATGCATGTAATCTTACCTTTAGACTAACATACAAACATGCATGTAACCTTACCTTTAGACTAACATACAAACATGCATGGAACCTTACCTTTACAGAGTTTCTTCCAGGCATCTCTTCGGGGGGGGGGGGGGGGGGGGGGGCAAAGCCCCCCCGAAAAATTTTTACCGCCCCCCCGAACGAAATGAAATTTATATAATTTATATAGAAAATATATACTTTAACAGTGTCCGCCCCCCCGAAGAAAGTTTACCGCCCCCCCGAAGATTTCAAGTGCCCCCCCGGAGAAAAAAGTCTGGAAGAAACACTGTACCTTTAGACTAACATACAAACATGCATGTAATCTTACCTTTAGACTAACATACAAACATGCATGGAACCTTACCTTTAGACTAACATACAAACATGCATGTAACCTTACCTTTAGACTAACATACAAACATGCATGTAACCTTACCTTTAGACTAACATACAAACATGCATGGAACCTTACCTTTAGACTAACATACAAACATGCATGTAACCTTAACTTTAGACTAACATACAAACATGCATGTAACCTTACCTTTAGATTAACATACAAACATGCATGGAACCTTACCTGTAGACTAACATACAAACATGCATGTAACCTTACCTTTAGACTAACATACAAACATGCATGGAACCTTACCTTTAGACTAACATACAAACATGCATGGAACCTTACCTGTAGACTAACATACAAACATGCATGGAACCTTACCTTTAGACTAACATACAAACATGCATGTAATCTTACCTTTAGACTAACATACAAACATGCATGTAACCTTACCTTTAGTCTAACATACAAACATGCATGGAACCTTACCTGTAGACTAACATACAAACATGCATGTAATCTTACCTTTAGACTAACATACAAACATGCATGGAACCTTACCTGTAGACTAACATACAAACATGCATGTAATCTTACCTTTAGACTAACATACAAACATGCATGGAACCTTACCTGTAGACTAACATACAAACATGCATGTAATCTTACCTTTAGACTAACATACAAACATGCATGGACACTTACCTTTAGACTAACATACAAACATGCATGGAACCTTACCTGTAGACTAACATACAAACATGCATGGAACCTTACCTTTAGACTAACATACAAACATGCATGTAATCTTACCTTTAGACTAACATACAAACATGCATGTAACCTTACCTTTAGACTAACATACAAACATGCATGGAACCTTACCTGTAGACTAACATACAAACATGCATGTAATCTTACCTTTAGACTAACATACAAACATGCATGTAATCTTACCTTTAGACTAACATACAAACATGCATGGAACCTTACCTGTAGACTAACATACAAACATGCATGTAATCTTACCTTTAGACTAACATACAAACATGCATGGAACCTTACCTTTAGACTAACATACAAACATGCATGGAACCTTACCTGTAGACTAACATACAAACATGCATGGAACCTTACCTGTAGACTAACATACAAACATGCATGGAACCTTACCTTTAGACTAACATACAAACATGCATGGAACCTTACCTTTAGTCTAACATACAAACATGCATGGAACCTTACCTGTAGACTAACATACAAACATGCATGTAATCTTACCTTTAGACTAACATACAAACATGCATGGAACCTTACCTGTAGACTAACATACAAACATGCATGTAATCTTACCTTTAGACTAACATACAAACATGCATGGAACCTTACCTGTAGACTAACATACAAACATGCGTGTAATCTTACCTTTAGACTAACATACAAACATGCATGGACACTTACCTTTAGACTAACATACAAACATGCATGGAACCTTACCTGTAGACTAACATACAAACATGCATGGAACCTTACCTTTAGACTAACATACAAACATGCATGTAATCTTACCTTTAGACTAACATACAAACATGCATGTAACCTTACCTTTAGACTAACATACAAACATGCATGGAACCTTACCTGTAGACTAACATACAAACATGCATGTAATCTTACCTTTAGACTAACATACAAACATGCATGTAATCTTACCTTTAGACTAACATACAAACATGCATGGAACCTTACCTGTAGACTAACATACAAACATGCATGTAATCTTACCTTTAGACTAACATACAAACATGCATGGAACCTTACCTTTAGACTAACATACAAACATGCATGGAACCTTACCTGTAGACTAACATACAAACATGCATGGAACCTTACCTGTAGACTAACATACAAACATGCATGGAACCTTACCTTTAGACTAACATACAAACATGCATGGAACCTTACCTTTAGTCTAACATACAAACATGCATGGAACCTTACCTGTAGACTAACATACAAACATGCATGTAATCTTACCTTTAGACTAACATACAAACATGCATGTAACCTTACCTTTAGACTAACATACAAACATGCATGGAACCTTACCTGTAGACTAACATACAAACATGCATGTAATCTTACCTTTAGACTAACATACAAACATGCATGGAACCTTACCTTTAGACTAACATACAAACATGCATGGAACCTTACCTGTAGACTAACATACAAACATGCATGTAATCTTACCTTTAGACTAACATACAAACATGCATGTAACCTTACCTTTAGACTAACATACAAACATGCATGTAACCTTACCTTTAGACTAACATACAAACATGCATGGAACCTCACCTTTAGACTAAACAAGAAAACGAGGCAAGCATGCGTGGAACGGTAAACTCCATGCAACACAAAGACCTGACTTAACTGAGCAGGGGCTGCCGTGTTGGCCAGGAAAGTTGAAATCTGGCCAGTTGTTGTGTACAAACATGCCACGTACAGCCCACAGCTTGCCCAGGCCAAGCAACAGATAAGTAGGTCAACCCAATTCCAGAGCTGAGTCAAGAACTGAGACTTTTCTCTGCATACACGCATCGTCAGGATTGTTGTTAAATAAATCACAAACAGGAAGAAGATAATCTGTTGGATGACAGAAGATAAGCTGTTGGATGACAGAAGATAAGCTGTTGGATGACAGAAGATAATCTGTTGGATGACAGAAGATAATCTGTTGGATGACAGAAGATAATCTGTTGGATGACAGAAGATAAGCTGTTGGATGACAGAAGATAATCTGTTGGATGACAGAAGATAATCTGTTGGATGACAGAAGATGATCTGTTGGATGACAGAAGCTGTTGGATGACAGAAGATAATCTGTTGGATGACAGAAGATAATCTGTTGGATGACAGAAGATAATCTGTTGGATGACAGAAGATAATCTGTTGGATGACAGAAGCTGTTGGATGACAGAAGATGATCTGTTGGATGACAGAAGATAATCTGTTGGATGACAGAAGCTGTTGGATGACAGAAGATAATCTGTTGGATGACAGAAGATAATCTGTTGGATGACAGAAGATGATCTGTTGGATGACAGAAGATAATCTGTTGGATGACAGAAGCTGTTGGATGACAGAAGATAATCTGTTGGATGACAGAAGATGATGTATTTCTCTACGAGTGTGTAAACAAAATGGACCTGGCAAACCATGAGAGGGTCAACAGTTCCAGGGACGAAGCGCATCAGTTTTTCTGTCAGAATAGACGAGCTGGTAACAGCACTACCTGAAGATACATCACATTTTGATTCATCAACACTTCTAAAACATCACATTTTGATTCATCAACACTTCTAAAACATCACATTTTGATTCATCAACACTTCTAAAACATCATATTTTGATTCATCAACATTTCTAAAACATCACATTTTGATTACATTTGTAATGAAAATGTGATGTTTTAGAAATGTTTTACAGGGGTAATATTGTTGATGGTTAACAAAATGAAGATATTTAGCCCTGGGTAACACCAGAAGATATCAACTTACCAGTTGTAAGAAACTCTAAGATATCAACTTACCAGTTGTAGGAAACTCTAAGATATCAACTTACCAGTTGTAGGAAACTCTAAGATATCAACTTACCAGTTGTAGGAAACTCTAACATATCAACTTACCAGTTGTAGGAAACTCTAAGATATCAACTTACCAGTTGTAGGAAACTCTAAGATATCAACTTACCAGTTGTAGGAAACTCTAAGATATCAACTTACCAGTTGTAGGAAACTCTAAGATATCAACTTACCAGTTGTAGGAAACTCTAAGATATCAACTTACCAGTTGTAGGAAACTCTAAGATATCAACTTACCAGTTGTAGGAAACTCTAAGATATCAACTTACCAGTTGTAGGAAACTCTAAGATATCAACTTACCAGTTGTAGGAAACTCTAAGATATCAACTTACCAGTTGTTGGAAACTCTAAGATAAGTGTTATCTGTGAGATGAGATCTAGACTTGAGCAATACAAAGTAAACTCCACAAAGACAACGCGTGTAACTCGTTGTATCCAACCCTTTTCCTCCAGCTGGTGCAAGACTTGCAGTGTTTGATTCAAGTTTTCTCCCAGCAACTCTACCAACCCACTCCCTGGGTACAACTGCAGTTCTCCAAATTTGGAAGGCCTGCACAAATTTACTTATTCAATTCAGGTAGGTCAAATCATGAAACAAAAAAGGGAATATCAATAGAGGTCTATTTTAAGCTAATCAATAAATAAAAGTGAATATCTATGTAGGTCTATTTTAAGCTGATCAAGAAAAAAAGTGAATATCTATGTAGGTCTATTTTAAGCTGATCAAGAAAAAAAGTGAATATCTATGTAGGTCTATTTTAAGCTGCTCAAGAAACAAAAAAGGACCAGCAGCTTGAATCAACAGCAAGATAAAGTATCTGTTTAGTAGTTGTGTATGATGAGTGAACAAACTAAGAGGTCAATGTGTACAAACTGAGTGGTCAATGTGTACAGAGTGGTCAATGTGTACAAACTGAGTGGTTAATGTGTACTAAGTGGTCAATGTGTACAAACTAAGTGGTCAATGTGTACAAACTGAGTGGTTAATGTGTACAAACTGAGTGGTCAATGTGTACAAACTGAGTGGTCAATGTGTACAAACTGAGTGGTCAATGTGTACAAACTGGGTGGTCAATGTGTACAAACTGAGTGGTCAATGTGTACAAACTAAGTGGTCAATGTGTACAAACTGAGTGGTCAATGTGTACAAACTGAGTGGTCAATGTGTACAAACTGAGTGGTCAATGTGTACAAACTGAGTGGTCAATGTGTACAAACTGAGTGGTCAATGTGTACAAACTGGGTGGTCAATGTGTACAAACTGAGTGGTCAATGTGTACAAACTGAGTGGTCAATGTGTACAAACTGAGTGGTCAATGTGTACAAACTAAGTGGTCAATGTGTACAAACTGAGTGGTCAATGTGTACAAACTGAGTGGTCAATGTGTACAAACTGGGTGGTCAATGTGTACAAGCTGATTGTTGACTAGCTAATATAGGAAAAACCTCACTGAGGACTAGCGTATGTCCCGTTAGCTTCAACTCCTGCCTTGACAATCTCTGTGACTGCTTGGTCAAGACACTGTCCTGTGGTCAGTTGTGGAATAGACAGCCATGCAAGTTTTGAATCAGCTGGACAGGGGACTGGTGACATTCAAAGGCTCAATTATTTACATAGCACAGTGCAATGATACATCAAGATTTGCACCATGCAATGATACATCAAGATTAGCACAATGCAATGATACATCAAGATTTGCACCATGCAATGATACATCAAGATTTGCACCATGCAATGATACATCAAGATTTGCACGATGCAATGATACATCAAGATTTGCACCATGCAATGATACATCAAGATTTGCACAACGCAATGATACATCAAGATTTGCACAATGCAATGATACATCAAGATTTGCACCATGCAATGATACATCAAGAATTGCACCACGCAATGGTACATCAAGAATTGCACCATGCTGATACATCAAGATTTGCACCATGCAATGATACATCAAGATTTGCACCATGCAATGATACATCAAGATTTGCACAACGCAATGATACATCAAGATTTGCACCATGCAATGATACATCAAGATTTGCACCACGCAATGATACATCAAGATTTGCACCATGCAATGATACATCAAGATTTGCACCACGCAATGATACATCAAGATTTGCACAATGCAATGATACATCAAGATTTGCACCATGCAATGATACATAAAGATTTGCACCATGCAATGATACATCAAGATTTGCACCATGCAATGATACATCAAGATTTGCACAACGCAATGATACATCAAGATTTGCACCATGCAATGATACATCAAGATTTGCACCATGCAATGATACATCAAGATTTGCACAACGCAATGATACATCAAGATTTGCACCACGCAATGATACATCAAGATTTGCACCACGCAATGATACATCAAGATTTGCACCACGCAATGATACATAAAGATTTGCACCATGCAATGATACATCAAGATTTGCACCATGTAATGATACATCAAGATTTGCACCACGCAATGATACATCAAGATTTGCACCACGCAATGATACATCAAGATTTGCACCATGCAATGATACATCAAGATTTGCACCACGCAATGATACATCAAGATTTGCACCACGCAATGATACATCAAGATTTGCACCACGCAATGATACATCAAGATTTGCACCACGCAATGATACATCAAGATTTGCACCATGCAATGATACATCAAGATTTGCACCACGCAATGATACATCAAGATTTGCACCACGCAATGATACATCAAGATTTGCACCACGCAATGATACATCAAGATTTGCACAGTTGTCCCCTTCCATTAAAATATACAAGAAAAAAAACTAAATGTGACCCAGATTATTTTCTTCATATGGAGGTTACCCATCTTTGTGACGAGGATATTACAGTAGACTTTTAAAAAGTTTGATCTGACTAAAATATTTAGAATTAAATACCATTGTTTGATTGGTTAATTCAGAATTAAATTCCATTCTTTGATTGGTTGATTTAAAAAGCTACCCAACCTGCATCTCCTTGAAGCTGTCTGAGCTGAGCGGGTCCCAACAGGTGGCCAAAAGTCTCAGACTCAGACAGCTGCAGCTGGTGCAGAACTTTGGCCAAGACATCTTGAGACCACTGCCAGAACTGACCAGAACTGAAGGAAAATCATTTGATGATTCATCGCAATCTGGCTCTAACTTCAACACTCATATTCTGGCTCTAACTTCAACACTCATATTCTGGCTCTAACTTCAACACTCATATTCTGGCTCTAACTTCAACACTCATATTCTGGCTCTAACTTCAACACTCATATTCTGGCTCTAACTTCAACACTCATATTCTGGCTCTAACTTCAACACTCATATTCTGGCTCTAACTTCAACACTCATATTCTGGCTCTAACTTCAACACTCATATTCTGGCTCTAACTTCAACACTCATATTCTGGCTCTCTGAATAACTTCAACACTCATATTCTGGCTCTCTGAATAATTTCAACACTCATATTCTGGCTCTAACTTCAGCACTCATATTCTGGCTCTAACTTCAACACTCATATTCTGGCTCTAACTTCAACACTCATATTCTGGCTCTCTGAATAATTTCAACACTCATATTCTGGCTCTAACTTCAACACTCATATTCTGGCTCTCTGAATAATTTCAACACTCATATTCTGGCTCTAACTTCAACACTCATATTCTGGCTCTCTGAATAACTTCAACACTCATATTCTGGCTCTCTGAATAATTTCAACGCTCATATTCTGGCTCTCTGAATAATTTCAACACTCATATTCTGGCTCTCTGAATAACTTCAACATTCATTCAATGCTAACCTTTTGATATCTTTGAAGCTCAGCCGATGAGATTTGCTGTGAAGTTTGTTGTGAAGGTTGCTGTGAAGTTTGTTGTGAATGTTGTTTGTGTTGAGGAAGCTCATAGAGCCACCATAATTGATGTAAACAATGGCCAAAAACACAAGCAGCATAGCCAGGAAAACAAACACCTCTCTGATCATGATGCGCAGACGCTCTTTCTTCCTCCCCTCCTCCAGAGCGTGAAGCAAAGCAAATCCTGCTAAAGGCTTGAACTTGACCGTCTGTGTGACACAACACAACCATCACATGGAAAGCTGGCTACTATTTGTATCTAGATATTACAGAGTTACTAAACATTGGCCTATAAAGCCAATCTTCTCACTGTATTAATTTATTAAACAATTGTATCCAACACCTAACTCAACACTTCAATACAACACCTAACTCAACACTTCAATACAACACCCAACTCAACACTTTAATAAAACACCCAACTCAACACTTCTATACAACACCCAACTCAACACTTCAATACAACACCTAACTCAACACTTCTATACAACACCCTACTCAACACTTCAATACAACACCCAACTCAACACTTCAATACAACACCCAACTCAACACTTCAATACAACACCCAACTCAACACTTCTATACAACAACCAACTCAACACTTCTATACAACACCCAACTCAACACTTCTATACAACACCCAACTCAACACTTTAATACAACAACCAACTCAACACTTCAATACAACACCCAACTCAACACTTTAATACAACAACCAACTCAACACTTCTATACAACACCCAACTCAACACTTCAATACAACACCTAACTCAACACTTCTATACAACACCCTACTCAACACTTCTATACCAAACCCAACTCAACACTTCAATACAACACCCAACTCAACACTTCAATACAACACCCAACTCAACACTTCAATACAACACCCAACTCAACACTTCAATACAACACCCAACTCAACACTTCTATACAACAACCAACTCAACACTTCTATACAACACCCAACTCAACACTTCTATGCAACACCCAACTCAACACTTTAATACAACAACCAACTCAACACTTTAATACAACAACCAACTCAACACTTTAATACAACACCCAACTCAACACTTCAATACAACACCCAACTCAACACTTCTATACCAAACCCAACTCAACACTTCAATACAACACCCAACTTAACACTTTAATACAACACCCAACTCAACACTTTAATACAACACCCAACTCAACACTTCAATACAACACCAAACTCAACACTTCAATACAACACCCAACTCAACACTTTAATACAACACCCAACTCAACACTTTAATACAACACCCAACTCAACACTTTAATACAACACCCAACTCAACACTTCAATACAACACCCAACTCAACACTTCAATACAACACCTAACTCAACACTTTAATACAACACCCAACTCAACACTTCAATACAACACCCAACTCAACACTTCTATACAACACCCAACTCAACACTTCAATACAACACCCAACTCAACACTTCTATACAACACCCAACTCAACACTTCTATACAACAACCAACTAAACACTTTAATACAACACCCAACTCAACACTTTAATACAACACCCAACTCATACTTCAATACAACACCCAACTCAACACTTCAATACAACACCCAACTCAACACTTCTATACAACACCCAACTCAACACTTCTATACAACAACCAACTAAACACTTTAATACAACACCCAACTCAACACTTCTATACCTAACCCAACTCAACACTTCTATACAACAACCAACTCAACACTTCTATACAACACCCAACTCAACACTTCTATACAACACCCAACTCAACACTTCAATACAACAACCAACTCAACACTTCTATACAACACCCAACTCAACACTTCTATACAACACCCAACTCAACACTTCAATACAACAACCAACTCAACACTTCTATACAACACCCAACTCAACACTTCTATACAACACCCAACTCAACACTTTAGCACAACAACCAACTCAACACTTCAATACAACACCCAACTAAACACTTTAATACAACAACCAACTCAACACTTCAATACAACACCCAACTAAACACTTTAATACAACAACCAACTCAACACTTCTATACAACAACCAACTCAACACTTCTATACCAAACCCAACTCAACACTTCAATACAACACCCAACTCAACACTTCAATACAACACCCAACTCAACACTTCTATACCAAACCCAACTCAACACTTCAATACAACACCCAACTCAACACTTCTATACAACAACCAACTAAACACTTTAATACAACACCCAACTCAACACTTCTATACAACACCCAACTCAACACTTCAATACAACACCCAACTCAACACTTCAATACAACACCCAACTCAACACTTCTATACCAAACCCAACTCAACACTTCAATACAACACCCAACTCAACTTTTTAATACAACACCCAACTCAACACTTTAATACAACACCCAACTCAACACTTCTATACAACACCCAACTCAACACTTCTATACAACAACCAACTAAACACTTTAATACAACACCCAACTCAACACTTCTATACAACACCCAACTCAACACTTCTATACAACACCCAACTCAACACTTCAATACAACACCCAACTCAACACTTCAATACAACACCCAACTCAACACTTCTAAACAACACCCAACTCAACACTTCTATACAACACCCAACTCAACACTTCAATACAACAACCAACTCAACACTTCTATACAACACCCAACTCAACACTTCTATACAACACCCAACTCAACACTTCAATACAACACCCAACTCAACACTTTAACACAACAACCAACTCAACACTTCAATACAACACCCAACTCAACACTTCAATACAACACCAACTCAACACTTCAATACAACACCCAACTAAACACTTTAATACAACAACCAACTCAACACTTCTATACAACACCCTACTCAACACTTCAATACAACACCTAACTCAACACTTCAATACAACACCCAACTCAACACTTTAATACAACACCCAACTCAACACTTCTATACCTAACCCAACTCAACACTTCTATACAACAACCAACTCAACACTTCTATACAACACCCAACTCAACACTTCTATACAACACCCAACTCAACACTTCAATACCTAACCCAACTCAACACTTCAATACAACACCCAACTCAACACTTCTATACCTAACCCAACTCAACACTTCTATACAACAACCAACTCAACACTTCTATACAACACCCAACTCAACACTTCTATACAACAACCAACTCAACACTTTAATACAACACCCTACTCAACACTTCTATACAACACCCAACTCAACACTTCAATACAACACCCAACTCAACACTTTAATACAACACCCAACTCAACACTTCAATACAACACCCAACTCAACACTTCTATACCTAACCCAACTCAACACTTCAATACAACACCCAACTCAACACTTCTATACCTAACCCAACTCAACACTTCTATACAACAACCAACTCAACACTTCTATACAACAACCATCTCAACACTTCTATACAACACCCAACTCAACACTTCTATACCTAACCCAACTCAACACTTCAATACAACACCCAACTCAACACTTCTATACCTAACCCAACTCAACACTTCTATACAACACCTAACTCAACACTTCAATACAACACCCAACTCAACACTTCAATACAACACCCAACTCAACACTTCTATACAACACCCAACTCAACACTTTAATACAACACCCAACTCAACACTTCTATACAACACCCAACTCAACACTTCAATACAACAACCAACTCAACACTTCAATACAACACCCAACTCAACACTTCTATACAACACCCAACTCAACACTTCAATACAACAACCAACTCAACACTTCTATACCAAACCCAACTCGACAAGAGATCTGTGATGTAGGTAGCACAATGATGTGGGTACACAATGATGTGGGTAGCACAATGATGTGTGATGTGGGTAGCACAATGATGTGTGATGTGGGTAGCACAATGATGTGTGATGTTGGTAGCACAATGATGTGTGATGTAGGTGGCACAATGATGTGTGATGTGGGTAACACAATGATGTGTGATGTGGGTAGCACAATGATGTGTGATGTGGGTAGCACAATGATGTGTGATGTGGGTAGCACAATGATGTGTGATGTGGGTAGCACTATGATGTGTGATGTGGGTAGCACAATGATGTGTGATGTGGGTAGCACAATGATGTGTGATGTGGGTAGCACTATGATCTGTGATGTGGGTAGCACAATGATGTGTGATATGGGTAGCACAATGATGTGTGATGTGGGTAACAATGATGTGTGATGTGGGTAGCACTATGATCTGTGATGTGGGTAGCACAATGATGTGTGATGTGGGTAGCACAATGACGTGTGATGTGGGTAGCACAATGATGTGTGATGTGGGTAGCACTATGATGTGTGATGTATGTAGCACAATGATGTGTGATGTGGGTAGCACAATGATGTGTGATGTGGGTAGCACAATGATGTGTGATGTGGGTAGCACAATGATGTGTGATGTGGGTAGCACAATGATGTGTGATGTGGGTAGCACAATGATGTGTGATGTGGGTAGCACAATGATGTGTGATGTGGAAAGCACAATGATGTGTGATGTGGGTAGCACAATGATGTGTGATGTGGGTAGCACAATGATGTGTGATGTGGGTAGCACAATGATGTGTGATGTAGTTTGACCTTGAGCTGTTGACTGCTCTCTACAGCTGGTTGGATGTCTATCATGCCAGGGTCTCCAGGTGACCAGTGCCGGCTGAGTACGACGGACAGGACAGCTGCAGCCACTACCTGTGTCATGACAGTTGGATAATCCATTGGATTAAAAGTATGAATAAGCTTCCACAATCAGAATATATTGAAGTAAAGTTATGTACCTTTAAAGGTTCCACAATCAATATAGATGCAAAGAGACTGTAGGCAAGGGAAACAATCCACTTGAGTGCAATGGCCTGTCCAAATTTGTAGCCGTACCAAAGTATCAAGATAATGGAGAGTAGGCACAACTTGAAGCAGATGGCATAAGACACATAGACACACCATGGGGGCAAGCTCAAAGATGAGTTTTTCTCTCCTTTAATGGCATTTACACCTACAAAAACAAACGACCTTCTCCAATCATTTCAACAACTGTACCATCATTTAATACTAAACATTCCATAAACAAAAGATTCCATGAACTAAACAAACAGCACTGACCCCCGCTTGTTTTAGAAGAGAAAGACACAAGGCTCCGTCTTTTTGCTGTTGGCCAGTGACCAGCACTTGCGTCACATGATCCACAATTTTCCTTAGCTCTGCTGTCAATAGGAGGGTTGGGAGGGTCAGTACATCAAAGAGAACACACTGCACACTCCAATAATAAAAACTACACACATTGTCATAGCGTAGATAGATAGCAATAAGACTAGAATGGTAGAGATAAATAAGGACAGTGTAAACTTGAGTTGGTATTGATTTTAGACAATTTGGATATAAAATATGTGCACGTGTTTAATAAAAAATTGTAGCTATGTGGTCAGTGTAGCTATGTGGTCAGTGTAGCTATGTGGTCAGTGTAGCTATGTGGTCAGTGGTCAGTGTAGCTATGTGGTCAGTGTAGCTATGTGGTCAGTGTAGCTATGTGGTCAGTGGTCAGTGTAGCTATGGGGTCAGTGTAGCTATGTGGTCAGTGTAGCTATGTGGTCAGTGTAGCTATGTGGTCAGTGGTCAGTGTAGCTATGTGGTCAGTGTAGCTATGTGGTCAGTGTAGCTATGGGGTCAGTGTAGCTATGTGGTCAGTGTAGCTATGTGGTCAGTGTAGCTATGTGGTCAGTGGTCAGTGTAGCTATGTGGTCAGTGTAGCTATGTGGTCAGTGTAGCTATGTGGTCAGTGGTCAGTGTAGCTATGTGGTCAGTGTAGCTATGTGGTCAGTGTAGCTATGTGGTCAGTGTAGCTATGTGGTCAGTGTAGCTATGTGGTCAGTGTAGCTATGTGGTCAGTGTAGCTATGTGGTCAGTGTAGCTATGTGGTCAGTGGTCAGTGTAGCTATGTGGTCAGTGTAGCTATGTGGTCAGTGGTCAGTGTAGCTATGTGGTCAGTGTAGCTATGTGGTCAGTGGTCAGTGTAGCTATGTGGTCAGTGTAGCTATGTGGTCAGTGTAGCTATGTGGTCAGTGTAGCTATGTGGTCAGTGTAGCTATGTGGTCAGTGTAGCTATGTGGTCAGTGGTCAGTGTAGCTATGTGGTCAGTGTAGCTATGTGGTCAGTGTAGCTATGTGGTCAGTGGTCAGTGTAGCTATGTGGTCAGTGTAGCTATGTGGTCAGTGTAGCTATGTGATCAGTGAAGCTATGTGGTCAGTGGTCAGTGTAGCTATGTGGTCAGTGGTCAGTGTGGCTATGTGGTCAGTGTGGCTATGTGGTCAGTGTAGCTATGTGGTCAGTGGTCAGTGTAGCTATGTGGTCAGTGTAGCTATGTGGTCAGTGTAGCTATGTGGTCAGTGTAGCTATGTGGTCAGTGGTCAGTGTAGCTATGTGGTCAGTGTAGCTATGTGGTCAGTGTAGCTATGTGGTCAGTGTAGCTATGTGATCAGTGAAGCTATGTGGTCAGTGTAGCTATGTGGTCAGTGTAGCTATGTGGTCAGTGTAGCTATGTGGTCAGTGGTCAGTGTAGCTATGTGGTCAGTGTAGCTATGTGGTCAGTGTAGCTATGTGGTCAGTGTAGCTATGTGGTCAGTGTAGCTATGTGATCAGTGAAGCTATGTGGTCAGTGGTCAGTGTAGCTATGTGGTCAGTGGTCAGTGTGGCTATGTGGTCAGTGTGGCTATGTGGTCAGTGTAGCTATATGGTCAGTGTAGCTATGTGGTCAGTGTAGCTATGTGGTCAGTGTAGCTATGTGGTCAGTGTTCAGTGTAGCTATGTGGTCAGTGGTCAGTGTAGCTATGTGGTCAGTGGTCAGTGTAGCTATGTGGTCAGTGTAGCTATGTGGTCAGTGGTCAGTGTAGCTATGTGGTCAGTGGTCAGTGTAGCTATGTGGTCAGTGTAGCTATGTGGTCAGTGTAGCTATGTGGTCAGTGGTCAGTGTAGCTATGTGGTCAGTGTAGCTATGTGGTCAGTGTAGCTATGTGGTCAGTGTAGCTATGTGGTCAGTGGTCAGTGTAGCTATGTGGTCAGTGTAGCTATGTGGTCAGTGGTCAGTGTAGCTATGTGGTCAGTGTAGCTATGTGGTCAGTGTAGCTATGTGGTCAGTGTAGCTATGTGGTCAGTGTAGCTATGTGGTCAGTGTAGCTATGTGGTCAGTGTAGCTATGTGGTCAGTGTAGCTATGTGGTCAGTGGTCAGTGTAGCTATGTGGTCAGTGTAGCTATGTGGTCAGTGGTCAGTGTAGCTATGTGGTCAGTGGTCAGTGTAGCTATGTGGTCAGTGGTCAGTGTAGCTATGTGGTCAGTGTAGCTATGTGGTCAGTGTAGCTATGTGGTCAGTGTAGCTATGTGATCAGTGTAGCTATGTGGTCAGTGTAGTTAGTAGGAAAAGGACGTGTTTTATTTTTCGTAGCGTAGATCTAGTGTTAGTAATTGATGATTAAAGTTAAGGTTATATTTCATGATCGGACTTGTTAGTGTAGTCAGAAATATGAGCGTTCCCGTCCTCATCACATGTCTATAGTTGGATAGTAATAGAAGTAGTTCATCGTATATAATGCACACATTTCCCCCACCACACACATCACACCAGCTTTATAAAACCTACAACCTACAACCTACAACCTATAGCCTACAACCTACAACCTACAGCCTACAACCTACAGCCTACAACCTACAGCCTACAACCTACAGACTACAACCTACAGCCTACAACCTACAGCCTACAGCCTACAACCTACAACCTACAGCCTACAGCCTACAACCTACAACCTACAGCCTACAACCTACAACCTACAACCTACAGCCTACAACCTACAGCCTACAACCTACAGACTACAACCTACAACCTACAACCTACAGCCTACAACCTACAACCTACAGACTAATAAAAAAAACCAAACCTCTCAGCTGCCTCTTCTGGCTGGCGGCAACTTGATGGCTCCAACCCTTCTGTGACCCAGTCGTCATCCGAGTCAAACAATTCATCCATTATACTTTTCACAGACCTAGTCATTAGAGTCAAACAATTCATCCATTATACTTTTCACAGACCTAGTCATTAGAGTCAAACAATTCATCCATTATACTTTTCACAGACCTAGTCATTAGAGTCAAACAATTCATCCATTATACTTTTTACAGACCTAGTCATTAGAGTCAAACAATTCATCCATTATACTTTTCACAGACCTAATCTAGTCAACGTTGAGGGTCAGAATGTAACAACCTATAAATCTCTTCTCTAAAAACTACAAAACAATTTCACGATGATTTTACAAGGATTTCACAACAATTTCACAATTATTTCACTACTAGCTAATTACTTGAAGCAAAGCAAATGATTTACTTGAAATCTTGTGAGGATTTCTTTTGTTTTCTTTCAGCTTTAGCAATGGCTGCATCCATCTCATCCAGTTTATCATCCAGGTCTTCAACTTCATCCACATCCTTTAAATTATAAAGGGAGCCGTACAAATCAGAAGGGGGACCCACAGACAACGGGGGGAGGTGGGGGGATGGGGACGGGGATGGGGACGGGGGGACGGGTGACACCCCCCCCCCCAAAAAAAAAAATACTATCAACCCTACATAGTGGTCTGTGTCAACAAGACAAATTGTCCTGTCATGTCATCTACTGAACCAACTGTGACATATGTCATGTTGTCATTTCACATGTCATCTACTGAACCGACTGTGACATATGTCATGTTGTCCTTTCACATGTCATCAACTGAACCAACTGTGATATATGTCATGTTGTCATTTCACATGTCATCTACTGAACCAACTGTGACATATGTCATGTTGTCCTTTCACATGTCATCTACTGAACCAACTGTGACATATGTCATGTTGTCATTTCACATGTCATCTACTGAACCAACTGTGACATGTCATGTTGTCATTTCACATGTCATCTACTGAACCAACTGTGACATATGTCATGTTGTCATTTCACATGTCATCTACTGAACCGACTGTGACATATGTCATGTTGTCATTTCACATGTCATCTACTGAACCAACTGTGACATATGTCATGTTGTCCTTTCACATGTCATCTACTGAACCAACTGTGACGTATGTCATGTTGTCCTTTCACATGTCATCTACTGAACCAACTGTGACATATGTCATGTTGTCCTTTCACATGTCATCTACTGAACCATTTTGTCCTTTCACATGACATCTACTGTAAAAAATTATTGTCATGAGCCCACAGCTCCTGACACTAGTCCTATCAATGTCAACCTCAGCATCAGCCACTAGACTGGACTGGTCACATGACACAGTTATAAAACCAAGGACGTTACTTTCTGCTGCTCTTGGCCTAGCTCTGTGTTGCTCTTGTCTTCACTACGTTTTCCTCTTTTGACTGTGGCGTGGGTTCTCTTGAGACTGGTTGGTAACTGGAATAAACCAATCAGTGACACATATGAATAAGATTGTTTAGCTTTTAGATGTACATACATCTCTTCAGTTGACTAATCAGATTATGTACTCTACATTGCAATCAAAGCCTTCTTATAAAGAATGGTCATGAGGCTTGATACCTAGTCTAACAAATACAAATATTTTCCAAGAGTAGATGTGGCCATGTAGTTACACGTTTTTTTAAACCAATTTTTAAATGTATGGCTTGTTTTGTTAATTTGTTAGTTTTGTTATGTCCATTTGATTATGTTTAGTCATTGTCATGGTACCAACTTAAAAAAAATAATATATTAAAAAAAAAATTACTGGAATGGAGTCAGTGGTGCTCTCCCTTTCCCCTAATTCCACAATAGGTGGGATGTAGGAGGGCGCTCCTGTAGAGAGGTCACAGAGTGCATCAATAGGTGGGATGCTCCTGTAGGAGGGCGCTCCTGTAGAGAGGTCACAGAGTGCATCAATTTCCATGCTGCGGGCTGTGCTTGGTCTGCGAGCATCTCGTAACATTGAGTCCTGGGAAAAAACTGATGCTTTGTAATTCTTCTACGCTACATAGAGGTCAATGTAGGCACAAAGTTAATGTCAAAGGTCAACACCCAAAGCCCATACTTCCTCACCCCCTGACTACCCCCAGTACCAAGAGCCTTCAAACTTGGCACCTCATTCCTTATGAGGGCTACAATAAAAGTTTTTTGGCCACAATAAAAAAGTTTTTGGCCACAATAAAAAAGTTTTTTGGCCACAATAAAAAAAGTTTTTGGCCACAATAAAGTTTTTTGGCCACAATAAAAAAAGTTTTTTGGCCACAATAAAAAAAGTTTTTTGGCCACAATAAAGTTTTTTGGCCACAATAAAAAAGTTTTTTGGCCACAACAAAAAAGTTTTTTGGCCACAATAAAGTTTTTTGGCCACAATAAAAAAGTTTTTTGGCCACAATAAAAAAAGTTTTCCACAATAAAAAAGTTTTCCACAATAAAATTTTTTTTTTTGCGTTTCTATGTTCTAAGAATAAATTGCTTTTAGTTTTTGAGTGGCTAATTAAGACATGATTTCTGTTCCAGTAAAACTTTTTAATGATGCCATGTTCTAATTAGATGGGGAATGCTGTGCACAATGTTATATTTAGATGTGGAATGATTTAAACAACAATGTGTCTTCCAGACTTTTTTCTCCCAGGGGGGGGGGGGCACTTAAAATTTTTGGAAAGGGGGAGGGGTGCGGTAGACTGGAAGAAACACTGATACCCAATTTTCCCAACTATGGCATTCTGAATTTAGAAAACGTTCTATTAATTGTTACATGATTTAGTTTTTCACTTAATAAAAGTAAAATGGCTATTAAGATTAAGAATTATTACTTTTTAAAAGCTTACTAAAAATAAACATGGGGTTTAAAAAGTCAATTATTTTGTAAATTCCAATCACTGTTAAAAGGCCCCTACATGTCTGCCCTGTGTGCATGCACGCTTGGGTGTGTTTGTGTTTGTGTGTGTGTGCGTGTGTGTGTGTTGATAGTAGGGGAGACAGGCTGAGAGACAGACAGGTTATGTAATTAGGTCAAATAATTAGGTCAAATATTCCTTATTCTTTTTTTTTTTACTCTTTTTACTCTTTTTTTTTTTACTCTTTTTTTTAATTGGACGTTCCACACCATCCTAAGCAAGAAAAACTAAGTTTTACAACTTTGTCGTAGGCTATGTGTTTGTGTGTCTGTTTGTTTGTCTGTGAACACTTGTGTAACTTGAGTACATTTTCAGTTAAGTTGTAGAAATTTCATCTATCATCATTACACAAAATGTTTGGTACTTATTCTCCTTCCAGTTTTTCTTAACTCAAGTACCATTTAAGTAAGGACAACAAAAATGTTTTGTTCTTTCCTAATAGGACAGCTTGGACAAATGATGACCTACCTTGCACCTAGACCTACCAGGACAGCTTGGACAAATGACCTACCTTGCACCTAGACCCAATAGGACAGCTTGGACAAATGACCTACCTTGCACCTTGACCTTTTGAACAAACAGGACAGCAGCACAAGAACTGGCACCACACTGAGCGTGGATACAAAAGCGATGACAATTTCCTCCCAGCCAAACGAGCTCCAGGTTATGTCCCCTGTGAGTTCAGTGCCAGACTTGAAGGCGCCGTACCAGACAGCGTTGATGCCCATGTACAAGTAGACAGAGGTCAGACAGCAGGTCAGTCGCTGGACGCGGGTGAACCTGCTGTGGTCTGGTCCACTTGTCAGTGACAGCCAAGTATGGCTGTCAGCTAGCAACCCAGATATGATTGTACTCCATTTTTTTTCTAACTCTCTCACTTCAAGCTCACCTAGTTAGAGACAAAGTATTTCATGAGTGCTTCATGTGGTGAACAAGTGTTCAAGTGGTGAACAAGTGTGTGGTTCATGTGGTGAACATGTGTGTGGTTCATGTGGTGAACATGTGTGTGGTTCATGTGGTGAACAAGTGTGTGGTTCATGTGGTGAACAAGTGTGTGGTTCATGTGGTGAACAAGTGTGTGGTTCATGTGGTGAACAACTGTTCGTGTGGTTCATGTGGTGAACAAGTGAGTGGTTCATGTGGTGAACAACTGTTCGTGTGGTTCATGTGGTGAACAAGTGAGTGGTTCATGTGGTGAACAAGTGTGTGGTTCATGTGGTGAACAAGTGTGTGGTTCATGTGGTGAACAAGTGTGTGGTTCATGTGGTGAACAAGTGTGTGGTTTATGTGGTGAACAAGTGTGTGGTTCATGTGGTGAGCAAGTGTGTGGTTCATGTGGTGAACAAGTGTTCATGTGGTGAACAAGTGTGTGGTTCATGTGGTGAACAAGTGTGTGATTCATGTGGTGAGCAAGTGTGTGGTTTATGTGGTGAACAAGTGTGTGGTTCATGTGGTGAACAAGTGTGTGGTTTATGTGGTTAACATGTGTGTGGTTCATGTGGTGAGCAAGTGTGTGGTTCATGTGGTGAACAAGTGTGTGGTTCATGTGGTGAACAAGTGTGTGGTTCATGTGGTGAACACGTGTTCATGTGGTGAACATGTGTGTGGTTCATGTGGTGAACAAGTGTGTGGTTCATGTGGTGAACAAGTGTGTGGTTCATGTGGTGAACAAGTGTTCATGTGGTGAACACGTGTTCATGTGGTGAACAAGTGTGTGGTTCATGTGGTGAACATGTGTGTGGTTCATGTGGTGAACAAGTGTGTGGTTCATGTGGTGAACATGTGTGTGGTTCATGTGGTGAACAAGTGTGTGGTTCATGTGGTGAACAAGTGTGTGGTTCATGTGGTGAACATGTGTGTGGTTCATGTGGTGAACAAGTGTTCATGTGGTGAACAAGTGTGTGGTTCATGTGGTGAACATGTGTGTGGTTCATGTGGTGAACAACTGTTCGTGTGGTTCATGTGGTGAACAAGTGTGTGATTCATGTGGTGAGCAAGTGTGTGGTTCATGTGGTGAACATGTGTGTGGTTCATGTGGTGAACAAGTGTGTGGTTTATGTGGTTAACATGTGTGTGGTTCATGTGGTGAACAAGTGTGTGGTTCATGTGGTGAACATGTGTGTGGTTCATGTGGTGAACATGTGTGTGGTTCATGTGGTGAACATGTGTGTGGTTCATGTGGTGAACAAGTGTGTGGTTCATGTGGTGAACAAGTGTGTGGTTCATGTGGTGAACATGTGTGTGGTTCATGTGGTGAACAAGTGTTCATGTGGTGAACAAGTGTGTGGTTCATGTGGTGAACATGTGTGTGGTTCATGTGGTGAACAACTGTTTGTGTGGTTCATGTGGTGAACAAGTGTGTGATTCATGTGGTGAGCAAGTGTGTGGTTCATGTGGTGAACATGTTTGTGGTTCATGTGGTGAACAAGTGTGTGGTTTATGTGGTTAACATGTGTGTGGTTCATGTGGTGAGCAAGTGTGTGGTTCATGTGGTGAACAAGTTTGTGGTTCATGTGGTGAGCAAGTGTGTGGTTCATGTGATGAACAAGTGTTCATGTGGTGAACAAGTGTGTGGTTCATGTGGTGAACAAGTGTGTGGTTCATGTGGTGAACAAGTGTGTGGTTCATGTGGTGAACAAGTGTGTGGTTCATGTGGTGAACAAGTGTGTGGTTCATGTGGTGAACAACTGTTCATGTGGTGAACAAGTGTGTGGTTCATGTGGTGAGCAAGTGTGTGGTTCATGTGGTGAACAAGTGTGTGGTTCATGTGATGAACAAGTGTTCATGTGGTGAACAAGTGTGTGGTTCATGTGGTGAACAAGTGTGTGGTTCATGTGGTGAACATGTGTGTGGTTCATGTGGTGAACAAGTGTTCATGTGGTGAACATGTGTGTGGTTCATGTGGTGAACAAGTGTGTGGTTCATGTGGTGAACAAGTGTGTGGTTCATGTGGTGAACAAGTGTGTGGTTCATGTGGTGAACAAGTGTTCATGTGGTGAACAAGTGTGTGGTTCATGTGGTGAACATGTGTGTGGTTCATGTGGTGAACAACTGTTCGTGTGGTTCATGTGGTGAACAAGTGTGTGATTCATGTGGTGAACAAGTGTGTGGTTCATGTGGTGAACAAGTGTTCATGTGGTGAACAAGTGTGTGGTTCATGTGGTGAACAAGTGTGTGGTTCATGTGGTGAACAAGTGTGTGGTTCATGTGGTGAACATGTGTGTGGTTCATGTGGTGAACAAGTGTTCATGTGGTGAACATGTGTGTGGTTCATGTGGTGAACAAGTGTGTGGTTCATGTGGTGAACAAGTGTGTGGTTCATGTGGTGAACAAGTGTGTGGTTCATGTGGTGAACAAGTGTTCATGTGGTGAACAAGTGTGTGGTTCATGTGGTGAACATGTGTGTGGTTCATGTGGTGAACAACTGTTCGTGTGGTTCATGTGGTGAACAAGTGTGTGATTCATGTGGTGAACAAGTGTGTGGTTCATGTGGTGAACAAGTGTGTGGTTCATGTGGTGAACAAGTGTTCATGTGGTGAACAAGTGTGTGGTTCATGTGGTGAACATGTGTGTGGTTCATGTGGTGAACAACTGTTCGTGTGGTTCATGTGGTGAACAAGTGTGTGATTCATGTGGTGAACAAGTGTGTGGTTCATGTGGTGAACAAGTGTTCATGTGGTGAACAAGTGTGTGGTTCATGTGGTGAACATGTGTGTGGTTCATGTGGTGAACAACTGTTCGTGTGGTTCATGTGGTGAACAAGTATGTGATTCATGTGGTGAACATGTGTGTGGTTCATGTGGTGAACAAGTGTGTGGTTCATGTGGTGAACAAGTGTGTGGTTCATGTGGTGAACAAGTGTGTGGTTCATGTGGTGAACAAGTGTGTGGTTCATGTGGTGAACAAGTGCGTGGTTCATGTGGTGAACAAGTGTTCATGTGGTGAACAAGTGTGTGGTTCATGTGGTGAACAAGTGTGTGGTTCATGTGGTGAGCTATGATCTAAAGCCTACCTTGAGACAGTGCTGTGTGCTGGATGCTACCTTTGTCTAGAGAGAGCCATGTGTTGATGGTGAAGGTGGACCTGGACCTAGTCTGGAGGTCTTCAACCAGCACTTTAGACAGGTACCAAGAGGGACTTAACCCTGTGTTGTCATGCCAAATCAGAATTTTTTCTATGTCCCCTAGATCATCATCGTGTGCTATCAGAAAGGTGTCCCGACAATTGCGCTGAAATGCCCCTGGCTTAGTGATATGCCTTGCTTCACCTTTGCACTGGCTCCCATAAAGCTTGATGCCAACGTGGGCACTGGTTCCTAAATGGATATGAAATTAAATATATGACAATAGATCTTGTCTAACTAGTTCATTATTATAATTCACAACGAGTAATTATTAATACCTGTTTACCTGATCTTTACCTGCACCCAACTGTCTACCTGATCTTTACCTGCACCCAACTGTCTACCTGATCTTTACCTGCACCCAACTGTCTACCTGATCTTTACCTGCACCCAACTGTCTACCTGATCTTTACCTGCACCCAACTGTCTACCTGATCTTTACCTGCACCCAACTGTCTACCTGATCTTTACCTGCACCCAACTGTCTACCTGATCTTTACCTGCACCCAACTGTCTACCTGATCTTTACCTGCACCCAACTGTCTACCTGATCTTTACCTGCACCCAAGTGTCTTCCAGTCACTACTGTGACCTGATATTTAAAAGCTCCATCCCTGCCACACAACGGCATTTTAGAAATACGTTTCAGGTTTTGAATGTCAAAATGGCGACACAAAATGAAAGCGATGACGTAAAGAATAAACAAGATGGCAACAGCGATGAAGACGACAGGATTTGTAGCCAAGTCAAAGTTCTGAAGAGAGAGACAAAAATACATGAAGCAATGGCCACACCAAATGCAACTACCAATCTATTTCAGCCTATTTGACTATTTAAATGCTAGTTTTATTTTATTCTAGCATTCAAAAGAATAAAAATGCTAGTTTTTATTTTATTTTAGCATACATAAGAATTTAAATGCTAGTTTTATTTTATTTAAGCATACATGAGAATGTTAATACTAGTTTTATTTAAATCTGACTTACAGCAAAGTCAGCAAAATCTATATCAGCAAGAGAAACAATTCCAGCGCCACTGAATGAGGTCAGGTGGTTGCAGACGCAGGATGTGAGAGTGGCTGTAGACTCTTCTCTGGCCCTGCAGCCATCATGTGACCACTGCTGAGTGGAGCTGTTAAAATACTGGCAGAAGGAGAAGTAGACAGCCACAGAGAGCTGCACAGTGTGGTGCACATCAGCATTGGTAGCTACAGCCACAAGCTTGTCTGTGCCTCGCAGGTCACTGGTCAAACAACAAACTGATTGGTGGTGCATGTTATGGTCAGCAACAAACTGATTGGTGGTGTCTGTCATTGGTCAAACAACAAACTGATTGGTGGTGCCTGTCATTGGTCAAACAACAGATTGGTGGTGCTTGTCATTGGTCAAACAACAGATTGGTGGTGCCTGTCATTGGTCAAACAACAGATTGGTGGTGCCTGTCATTGGTCAAACAACAAACAGATTGGTGGTGCCTGTCATTGGTCAAACAACAAACAGATTGGTGGTGCCTGTCATTGGTTAAACAACAAACAGATTGGTGGTGCTTGTCATTGGTCAAACAACAAACTGATTGGTGGTGCCTGTCATTGGTTAAACAACAAACAGATTGGTGGTGCTTGTCATTGGTCAAACAACAGATTGGTGGTGCCTGTCATTGGTCAAACAACAAACAGATTGGTGGTGCCTGTCATTGGTCAAACAACAGATTGGTGGTGCTTGTCATTGGTCAAACAACAAACTGATTGGTGGTGCCTGTCATTGGTCAAACAACAGATTGGTGGTGCTTGTCATTGGTCAAACAACAGATTGGTGGTGCTTGTCATTGGTCAAACAACAGATTGGTGGTGCTTGTCATTGGTCAAACAACAAACTGATTGGTGGTGCTTGTCATTGGTCAAACAACAAACTGATTGGTGGTGCTTGTCGTTGGTCAAACAACAAACAGATTGGTGGTGCTTGTCATTGGTCAAACAACAGATTGGTGGTGCTTGTCATTGGTCAAACAACAGATTGGTGGTGCCTGTCATTGGTCAAACAACAAACTGATTGGTGGTGCTTGTCATTGGTCAAACAACAAACTGATTGGTGGTGCCTGTCATTGGTCAAACAACAAACTGATTGGTGGTGCTTGTCATTGGTCAAACAACAGATTGGTGGTGCCTGTCATTGGTCAAACTACAAACAGATTGGTGGTGCTTGTCATTGGTCAAACAACAAACTGATTGGTGGTGCCTGTCATTGGTCAAACAACAGATTGGTGGTGCTTGTCATTGGTCAAACAACAGATTGGTGGTGCTTGTCATTGGTCAAACAACAGATTGGTGGTGCCTGTCATTGGTCAAACAACAAACAGATTGGTGGTGCCTGTCATTGGTCAAACAACAGATTGGTGGTGCTTGTCATTGGTCAAACAACAAACAGATTGGTGGTGCTTGTCATTGGTCAAACAACAAACAGATTGGTGGTGCTTGTCATTGGTCAAACAACAAACAGATTGGTGGTGCTTGTCATTGGTCAAACAACAAACAGATTGGTGGTGCTTGTCATTGGTCAAACAACAAACTGATTGGTGGTGCCTGTCATTGGTCAAACAACAGATTGGTGGTGCTTGTCATTGGTCAAACAACAAACAGATTGGTGGTGCTTGTCATTGGTCAAACAACAAACAGATTGGTGGTGCTTGTCATTGGTCAAACAACAAACTGATTGGTGGTGCCTGTCATTGGTCAAACAACAGATTGGTGGTGCTTGTCATTGGTCAAACAACAGATTGGTGGTGCCTGTCATTGGTCAAACAACAGATTGGTGGTGCCTGTCATTGGTCAAACAACAAACTGATTGGTGGTGCTTGTCACTGGTCAAACAAACTGATTGGTGGTGCCTGTCATTGGTCAAACAACAGATTGGTGGTGCTTGTCATTGGTCAAACAACAAACTGATTGGTGGTGCTTGTCATTGGTCAAACAACAAACAGATTGGTGGTGCTTGTCATTGGTCAAACAACAAACTGATTGGTGGTGCCTGTCATTGGTCAAACAACAGATTGGTGGTGCCTGTCATTGGTCAAACAACAGATTGGTGGTGCTTGTCATTGGTCAAACAACAGATTGGTGGTGTCTGTCATTGGTCAAACAACAGATTGGTGGTGCTTGTCATTGGTCAAACAACAAACTGATTGGTGGTGCCTGTCATTGGTCAAACAACAGATTGGCGGTGCTTGTCATTGGTCAAACAACAAACAGATTGGTGGTGCTTGTCATTGGTCAAACAACAAACAGATTGGTGGTGCATGTCACTGGTCAAACAACAGATTGGTGGTGCATGTCACTGGTCAAACAACAAACTGATTGGTGGTGCATGTTATTGGTCAAACAACAAACTGATTGGTGGTGCCTGTCATTGGTCAAACTACAAACTGATTGGTGGTGCTTGTCATTGGTCAAACTACAAACTGATTGGTGGTGCCTGTCATTGGTTAAACAACAAACAGATTGGTGGTGCCTGTCATTGGTCAAACAACAGATTGGTGGTGCTTGTCATTGGTCAAACAACAAACAGATTGGTGGTGCCTGTCATTGGTCAAACAACAAACTGATTGGTGGTGCCTGTCATTGGTCAAACAACAGATTGGTGGTGCCTGTCATTGGTCAAACAACTGATTGGTGGTGTCTGTCATTGGTCAAACAACAGATTGGTGGTGCGTGTTATGGTCAGCAACAAACTGATTGGTGGTGCCTGTCATTGGTCAAACAACAGATTGGTGGTGTCTGTCATTGGTCAAACAACAGATTGGTGGTGTCTGTCATTGGTCAAACAACAGATTGGTGGTGCCTGTCATTGGTCAAACAACAAACTGATTGGTGGTGCCTGTCATTGGTCAAACAACAAACTGATTGGTGGTGCCTGTCATTGGTCAAACAACAAACTGATTGGTGGTGCCTGTCATTGGTCAAACAACAAACTGATTGGTGGTGCCTGTCATTGGTCAAACAACAAACTGATTGGTGGTGCCTGTCATTGGTCAAACAACAAACTGATTGGTGGTGCCTGTCATTGGTCAAACAACAAACTGATTGGTGGTGCTTGTCATTGGTCAAACAACAGATTGGTGGTGCCTGTCATTGGTCAAACAACAAACAGATTGGTGGTGCTTGTCATTGGTCAAACAACAAACAGATTGGTGGTGCTTGTCATTGGTCAAACAACAAACAGATTGGTGGTGCCTGTCATTGGTCAAACAACAAACTGATTGGTGGTGCTTGTCATTGGTCAAACAACAGATTGGTGGTGCTTGTCATTGGTCAAACAACAGATTGGTGGTGCCTGTCATTGGTCAAACAACAGATTGGTGGTGCCTGTCATGGTCAGGTCCATTAGTTACAAGCATACAGGTACTAACATATCTTTTTGAGACATAACAAAGTTATAAGCATACAGACAGTAAGACATGTTTTAGATGAAACAAAGTTATAAGCATACAGACAGTAAGACATGTTTTAGATGAAACAAAGTTATAAGCATACAGACAGTAAGACATGTTTTAGATGAAACAAAGTTATAAGCATACAGACAGTAAGACATGTTTTAGATGAAACAAAATTAGAACACATGGAATTGCTTTGTTCGGACAGAAAACATGTGGATCAGCTGTTTCATGTTATCAGAGGTATAACAAAATTTAATGTTTCATGTTATCAGAGGTATAAAGAAAAAGATGAAGAGAACAAAATTGACCTACTTGATGAAAAAAGAAAATTGGGTGTGGTCGACCCCTGGGGCCATTAGGTCTGTGCTCAGGTTGAGGAACTGGTGAAACCTGGTGGGGGAGGGGCTAAAGTTGACCCCCAGGTACACCAGCACATTCGTACCAATGTGTGTTGATATACCTGTCTTATTGGGTAGAAAATGGATCCTCAGCTGAAAGGACAAAGTTTCATCATTTCTTTTTCCAATAGTTTGTGTACCAACACAATAACTACAGAAACATTTAGTATATACATTAATAAGATAATAATAAGCAAACAAATGTTGTTTCAGTACAAAAACTCTACTGGTCTCAGGAAAACTACTGGTCTCAGGACAACAACTCTACTGGTGTCAGGACAACAACTCTACTGGTCTCAGGACAACAACTCTACTGGTGTCAGGACAACAACTCTACTGGTCTCAGGACAACAACTCTACTGGTCTCAGGACAACTCTACTGGTCTCAGGACAACAACTCTACTGATCTCAGGACAACTCTACTGGTCTCAGGACAACAACTCTACTGGTCTCAGGACAACTCTACTGGTCTCAGGACAACAACTCTACTGGTCTCAGGACAACTCTACTGGTCTCAGGACAACAACTCTACTGGTCTCAGGACAACTCTACTGGTCTCAGGACAACAACTCTACTGGTCTCAGGACAACTCTACTGGTCTCAGGACAACTCTACTGGTCTCAGGACAACAACTCTACTGGTCTCAGGACAACTCTACTGGTCTCAGGACAATTCTACTGGTCTCAGGACAACAACTCTACTGGTCTCAAGACAACTCTACTGGTCTCAGGACAACAACTCTACTGATCTCAGGACAACAGCTCTACTGGTCTCAAGACAACTCTACTGATCTCAGGACAACAACTCTACTGGTCTCAGGACAACTCTACTGGTCTCAGGACAACTCTACTGGTCTCAGGACAACTCTACTGATCTCAGGACAACAACTCTACTGGTCTCAGGACAACTCTACTGGTCTCAGGAAAACTCTACTGGTATCAGGACAACAACTCTACTGGTCTCAGGACAACTCTACTGGTCTCAAGACAACAACTCTACTGGTCTCAGGACAACTCTACTGGTCCCAGGACAACAACTCTACTGATCTCAGGAGAACTCTACTGGTCTCAGGACAACAACTCTACTGATCTCAGGACAACAACTCTACTGGTCTCAGGACAACAACTCTACTGGTCTCAGGACAACAACTCTACTGGTCTCAGGACAACAACTCTACTGGTCTCAGGACAACAACTCTACTGGTCTCAGGACAACAACTCTACTGGTCTCAGGACAACAACTCTACTGGTCTCAGGAAAACAACTCTACTGGTCTCAGGACAACTCTACTGGTCTCAGGACAACTCTACTGGTCCCAGGACAACAACTCTTCAGGTGTCAGGACAACTCTACTGATCTCAGGACAACAACTCTACTGGTCTCAGGACAACAACTCTACTGGTCTCAGGACAACAACTCTACTGGTCTCAGGACAACAACTCTACTGATCTCAGGACAACTCTACTGGTCTCAGGACAACAACTCTACTGGTCTCAGGACAACAACTCTACTGGTCTCAGGACAACAACTCTACTGGTCTCAGGACAACAACTCTACTGGTCTCAGGACAACTCTACTGGTCTCAGGACAACAACTCTACTGGTCTCAGGACAACAACTCTACTGGTCTCAGGACAACAACTCTACTGGTCTCAGGACAACAACTCTACTGATCTTAGGACAACAACTCTACTGGTCTCAGGACAACAACTCTACTGATCTCAGGACAACTCTACTGGTCTCAGGACAACTCTACTGGTCTCAGGACAACAACTCTACTGATCTCAGGACAACAACTCTACTGGTCTCAGGACAACAACTCTACTGATCTCAGGAGAACTCTACTGGTCTCAGGACAACAACTCTACTGATCTCAGGACAACAACTCTACTGGTCTCAGGAGAACTCTACTGGTCTCAGGACAACAACTCTACTGATCTCAGGACAACAACTCTACTGGTCTCAGGACAACTCTACTGGTCTCAGGACAACTCTACTGGTCTCAGAACAACAACTCTACTGGTCTCAGGACAACAACTCTACTGGTCTCAGGACAACAACTCTACTGGTCTCAGGACAACAACTCTACTGGTCTCAGGACAACAACTTCACTGATCTCAGGACAACAACTCTACTAGTCTCAGGAGAACTCTACTGGTCTCAGGACAACAACTCTACTGGTCTCAGGACAACAACTCTACTGGTCTCAGGACAACAACTCTACTGATCTAAGGACAATAACTACTGGTCTCAGGAGAACTCTACTGGTCTCAGGACAACAACTCTACTGGTCTCAGGACAACTCTACTGGTCTCAGGACAACTCTACTGGTCCCAGGACAACAACTCTACTGGTCTCAGGACAACTCTACTGGTCTCAGGACAACTCTACTGGTCTCAGGACAACAACTCTACTGGTCTCAAGACAACTCTACTGGTCTCAGGACAACAACTCTACTGATCTCAGGACAACAGCTCTACTGGTCTCAAGACAACTCTACTGATCTCAGGACAACAACTCTACTGGTCTCAGGACAACTCTACTGGTCTCAGGACAACTCTACTGGTCTCAGGACAACTCTACTGATCTCAGGACAACAACTCTACTGGTCTCAGGACAACTCTACTGGTCTCAGGACAACTCTACTGGTCTCAGGACAACAACTCTACTGGTCTCAAGACAACTCTACTGGTCTCAGGACAACAACTCTACTGATCTCAGGACAACAGCTCTACTGGTCTCAAGACAACTCTACTGATCTCAGGACAACAACTCTACTGGTCTCAGGACAACTCTACTGGTCTCAGGACAACTCTACTGGTCTCAGGACAACTCTACTGATCTCAGGACAACAACTCTACTGGTCTCAGGACAACTCTACTGGTCTCAGGACAACTCTACTGGTATCAGGACAACAACTCTACTGGTCTCAGGACAACTCTACCGGTCTCAAGACAACAACTCCACTGGTCTCAGGACAACTCTACTGGTCCCAGGACAACAACTCTACTGATCTCAGGAGAACTCTACTGGTCTCAGGACAACAACTCTACTGATCTCAGGACAACTACTCTACTGGTCTCAGGAGAACTCTACTGGTCTCAGGACAACTCTACTGGTCTCAGGACAACAGCTCTACTGGTCTCAGGACAACTCTACTGGTCCCAGGACAACAACTCTACTGATCTCAGGACAACTCTACTGGTCTCAGGACAACAACTCTATTGATCTCAGGACAACAACTCTACTGGTCTCAGGACAACAACTCTACTGGTCTCAGGACAACAACTCTACTGGTCTCAGGACAACAACTCTACTGGTCTCAGGACAACAACTCTACTGGTCTCAGGACAACAACTCTACTGGTCTCAGGACAACAACTCTACTGGTCTCAGTACAACTGTACTGGTCTCAGGACAACTCTACTGGTCTCAGGACAACTCTACTGGTCCCAGGACAACAACTCTTCAGGTGTCAGGACAACTCTACTGGTCTCAGGACAACAACTCTACTGATCTCAGGACAACAACTCTACTGGTCTCAGGACAACTCTACTGGTCTCAGGACAACAACTCTACTGGTCTCAGGACAACTCTACTGGTCTCAGGACAACTCTACTGGTCTCAAGACAACTCTACTGGTCTCAGGACAACAACTCTACTGATCTCAGGACAACAACTCTACTGGTCTCAGGACAACAACTCTACTGATCTCAGGACAACTCTACTGGTCTCAGGACAACTCTACTGGTCTCAGGACAACAACTCTACTGATCTCAGGACAACAACTCTACTGGTCTCAGGACAACAACTCTACTGATCTCAGGACAACAACTCTACTGGTCTCAGGAGAACTCTACTGGTCTCAGGACAACTCTACTGGTCTCAGGACAACAGCTCTACTGGTCTCAGGACAACTCTACTGGTCCCAGGACAACAACTCTACTGATCTCAGGACAGCTCTACTGGTCTCAAGACAACTCTACTGATCTCAGGACAACAACTCTACTGGTCTCAGGACAACTCTACTGGTCTCAGGACAACTCTACTGATCTCAGGACAACAACTCTACTGGTCTCAGGACAACTCTACTGGTCTCAGGACAACTCTACTGGTCTCAGGACAACAACTCTACTGGTCTCAAGACAACTCTACTGGTCTCAGGACAACAACTCTACTGGTCTCAGGACAACAACTCTACTGGTTTCAAGACAACAACTCTACTGGTCTCAGGACAACAACTCTACTGATCTCAGGACAACAACTCTACTGGTCTCAGGAGAACTCTACTGGTCTCAGGACAACTCTACTGGTCCCAGGACAACAACTCTACTGATCTCAGGACAACTCTACTGGTCCCAGGACAACAACTCTACTGATCTCAGGACAGCTCTACTGGTCTCAAGACAACTCTACTGATCTCAGGACAACAACTCTACTGGTCTCAGGACAACTCTACTGGTCTCAGGACAACTCTACTGATCTCAGGACAACAACTCTACTGGTCTCAGGACAACTCTACTGGTCTCAGGACAACTCTACTGGTCTCAGGACAACAACTCTACTGGTCTCAAGACAACTCTACTGGTCTCAGGACAACAACTCTACTGATCTCAGGACAACAGCTCTACTGGTTTCAAGACAACTCTACTGATCTCAGGACAACAACTCTACTGGTCTCAGGACAACTCTACTGGTCTCAGGACAACTCTACTGGTCTCAGGACAACTCTACTGATCTCAGGACAACAACTCTACTGGTCTCAGGACAACTCTACTGGTCTCAGGACAACTCTACTGGTATCAGGACAACAACTCTACTGGTCTCAGGACAACTCTACTGGTCTCAAGACAACAACTCCACTGGTCTCAGGACAACTCTACTGGTCCCAGGACAACAACTCTACTGATCTCAGGAGAACTCTACTGGTCTCAGGACAACAACTCTACTGGTCTCAGGAGAACTCTACTGGTCTCAGGACAACTCTACTGGTCTCAGGACAACAGCTCTACTGGTCTCAGGACAACTCTACTGGTCCCAGGACAACAACTCTACTGATCTCAGGACAACTCTACTGGTCTCAGGACAACAACTCT